TTCTCTTTCTCAGTTTTTAAATGAATATAATCGTTTATAAATAATATTCATTATAGCTAACCAGAAGTATTCTCACAAGTATTGTCTAAAAAAATTATAAATATTAATCTTTTATCTGTGTAGAAATTGACTGGCCTTGAGCCCAGCTAAAAAGTAAGTGATTCTATTGGTCAATGAATAATAATCTTTTGTAATTATTATTAACATGCATTGGTATAATTATCTTCATCCATTTTACTTCACTAAATTCAAAGTAAGACAACATTTACTTTGAAACTCATTAAATGTTTGGTACAATCTTGTTCAGTAAAAGCAATGGCAGCACAAAAGGCCATGCAGGTGAATTATCTCGCTAGACTTTCCCCCCGAGCTGCTGGAGCCCCTCGTCCTGATGCTCGACGTGCCCTCCATGGGAGCGCTGGCCTCAACCTGCTGCAAGTTCCTTAACGAGTTCATCACAAATGAAGACTGCTCATCAAGCTGGCGAGTTGTTGACACCACTCCAAGAACGGAAATACGAAGCAAGATACTATTGATCATAATCGTACGGTATCGTGGTTGTAAAACGAAATTTTGAACTGTATTCGTAGAATCAACAATTTTGAACCTGATTTAATAAGTAGTCTACATTTACTTGAAATCCAAGCGGAGTCTACGATTCAAGATCTTCAGGCCTGGGATGCCCCAGCCACTAGTGCTGATAGGCGCAAGATGCGCGGGTTTGGTGAAATTCTCAGCAGCCTGAAACCAGGAAACGACGAATTTAAACTGTGCCTCAGTTAAATGAAAGAAATGCATGAACTTTTCCATGAATGCAATTCATTCATCAGGCCTGGGATGCCCCAGCCACTAGTGCTGATAGGCGCAAGATGCGCGGGTTTAGTGAAATTCTCGGCAGCTTGAAACAAGGAAACGACTTTACTTGAAATCCAAGTGGCGTCACCCTTCAACTTGCTCCCTTCGATNATTTACATGTTCACAACACACGAAGGCAGTTTTGTGTGAAATTTCAAACCGTTATGTGGTCTATTACTAATGATATGGCGCCAAACTGAAAAAAAATTTAAGTGGAAAAATTATATACTAAATAATTTCTTACATACACATGTCATACATAGAAATGTTCGTCATGAATCAGAGAACACGTACGAAAAAATTTCATAATTTTTGCAAGTCGTTCAACAAAATATAGACCAAAAAAGACAAAAGGCTAAAACTTCATATAAAATTTAATAATTAAAATATAAACGACTTTCTTCCTATAGCTATACATGTTATATACCAAAATGTTCGTCGTGACTCAAAGAATATGGTCTAAATAATTTGAATTAAATCGTGTGGTTGAGACCGGAGAAAATAGCGCGAGAAGGCAAAAATTCGTATTGACCGCCTTTTATAATGGAAAATAAATATATTAAAACCCTTTTTCGGAGACAAAAAATATACCAAAATGAAGATAAACTATCGGCTCAAACAATGGTGAAGGTTTGAAAAAAAAATCGATCGAGAATTGCCGGAGTTATAAGCAAAAATATAAAACTTTTACCCTCGTAACACCTCCGAGAGATAATGTAAGTATTTAAAATGACGGTGTCAATACCAATACGCGTAGTAGCGCGGGAAAACGGGGGCTCGCGCCCCATTCCGTTTTTTTCATTTTGGGCAATAAAATGACGGTGTCATGGTCAACCATGGACGGTGTCAATACCAATACGCGTAGTAGCGCGGAAAAACGGGGGCTCGCGCCCCATTCCGTTTTTTTCATTTTGGGCAATTAAGTTCATGCCAGCATCGATACATTTTATTGTCCACTTCGAGTTTAACTGGCTCACTAAACGCTCAGCCTTAATTAGCAGGTTTCCCACACATAAATTTGTCAAATTGCAACGAAGCTATTTATTTACTGCACACCCCTGCTGTCTTTGTCAGACTCTAACTTGGAGTCATTCTCGGATGTTTCCTACAGCATGTTCACACATATGGCAAGGTATAGTCATAACCTCTGCTACAATATCCATTCCCTTAGCTGTGGTAGGGTGTGAGGGCGACTTCTGAACACCCTTTCTTTTAGATGTCCCCAAAGAAAGAAATCGCTAATGCTCAAATCAGGAGACCTCGTAAATATGTATATACATTATTTTGTATGATCAATTCGGTACATTCGTTTGTTAAAGTATGTTAATACAATTATTTTGTATCATTCGAAAAGACTTCAAGAGAAGGAAGAAAACTAAGATTGAGGGGGCAGAAGGACCCCCCCCCCCCCCCCCCCACTTCATGCGCTGCTTGAATGCTCATGCGTGTGTCACGCAACTACTCAAGACTCTTGGGATGCATTGCATTTAGAGTATGCATTAAGGAATGTTGTCTTGCCTTGGTGAGTAAAGAATTTACATTCTCAACAAACTGACAAAGTGCATCATAATGAGAATATAAATTCTGCTCACTAGTTTTACATTGACCATTTATTTCCTTGTTATGCATATAGTCTTATTCTTTAATAGATATTCCTTCTCCTTTTATGGCCAGAATAAGATCAAATATGTACAATTACATCAAGAAAATATTACAATATTTTACCATGATCTATTTCAGTATCAAACTATCAATGGCTGCATTGGCTGGAGCTATATCATCTATATGGGTGTCTGTGACGGTTGATATAGTAATATAGGTATAGCAGTTTTAGCGTTCATTAGGACATTCTACCCATCACCAATTCTTGAACATTGCAGAATTTTCACAGCTTGTTGCGGTTTCAAACGCGCAACTCAGTGCTCTAATTTTGCCGTGCTCAAGCGCCCGGACTCCTCGGTCCTCGCTGCTTTGACCACTGACCAGTACAGTGGGTAACAGACTAACAGGCAGCTGGGATCAAACCTGCACCATACTGCTCCAGTCACGGAATGCTGAACTGTAACCACTGGGGTGACTGGGCCACCTTACCCTTATGTCTTGAATAAGTTGTATCAAGAAGTGGAAACAAGGGTAAATATTACANTATACCACTGTAATTAAAGCTCTGTATCTGCAATATTATCATGCTTGTGCATTGCCCGTCCATACTTTTTATACTACGTAAAGCCAAACTCTGTACCCGCACTATGATCATGCTTACGAAATACGCTCTCATCCGTATTATATAACTGCATATCTAAGTTCCGTATGTACAAAGTGAAATATATGTACTTATTGTACTACTTAAAGCCAAGCCCTGTATGTGCAAAGAGAAATACACTTACTTATTATGGTATGCATAGATGAGTTTTTTTATCTGTAAGGTGTTTCACGGTGCTAATATACATGTCCATACCTACTATTATACTACGTAAAGTCAAGCTCTGTATGTGCAAAGAGAAATACACTCACTTATTATGGTCCGTATAAACAAGTTTTTTATCTGCAAGGTGTTTCACGCTGCTAGTATACGTGCCCATACTTACTATTATACTATGTACCTATAGTCAAGCTCTGTATGTTCAAGAAGACACTTATTATGGTATGCATAGATGATTTTTTTATCTGCAAGGTGTTTCACGCTGCTAATATACACGTCCATACTTACTATTATGCTATGTACAGTCAAGCTCTGTATGTTCAAAAAGACACTTATTATAGTATTAATGTCACTTATTTGCTTAAATCGCAAGTTGACTAAAAATTTAAAAGCAAAGAATAGTCCACAAAAATTCATATCTTTATAGAAAAAGAGATCTCTTATTTGCGGGCAATGCGCTCTTTCTTTCAGCTGTAATATGTGCCCCCGAGTTATAGATGGTGTTGGGAATTACATTTTTTGAGTTCAAAGAAATTGTTTACGCTGCATATACAAAAAAATTTGCACTCAAAATGAATTCTGTTCAAATTGAAGACTAGTTTGCTACCCTAGGTACATGGTTACAGACTAATTTTTCATACAGAATGTTCATCCCATGAAGTGAAGTTTTTCGATAAAGTAAAATCAAATGAATTGAATGAACACTGAACAGCCCTCCCAACATCGATGCAGTAGAAGTGCTTCTACCAATCACGAAATTCAATCTTGTTGCAAATTCACTGAAATATGGCAGCTAAGAGAAAGATATATTCCTTGGGTTATACTTTTATTTTTGTACAAATCAATATTTTAAATTTTTTTCATTAATTTATTAAAGAAAGACTGAAGTTAGAGGGTTGGTTCTGCATGAATTGAGGCTTTCTCTATTGTACCTTATGTAGGTGCTATTCACTCAAAGACTGCAATATAACCTTGCCAGGCTATGGCGGCTTTAGTGTACCCTTTCTCAATATTGTTGTCAACTTTATATAGGTACTATATACATACCTCGCCACTCCTGGTGAGTCTCAAGAACTTCCACTTTATTATATGATAGGGCAATAAAAAAAATTAGAGACTTTTTTTACTTTTAAAAGTCTAAACATAAGTCTACCCTGCACAAGTGTTAAATTTAATTTTTAGCATCATGGTGTTTTGAAATTTAATATATTCTAGCGGGTTTTCCGAAAGTGGCGACTTATGTGGAATTGATGGAAGTTAGTATGTAATAAAGTTTATCTGTGAGATGGTTTCTATGAATTGCAGCCACAAGATAAAATCAACATGGAATGTATTTATTGTGCCACAAGTTTATTTCATGGTATTCAACAATAACAAATATTAATTATTCAATTTATCAAATTTATTATAAATTAAAACAGTTCAAAATCTAGAAATACAATTACCTACAAAAACGTTTCTAAAAATACTTGCTTATGATGTCACTGCAAGCTCCCACTTACTTGTTGTCACTTGTCAATGTCATAATTGGGACCCTGTGCAACCCACGAAAGGAAATTATATAAGTAAAAAGTAAGTAAATAACATAAGATAAGTAAATAGGTATCTTACAAAAGTAAGATATTTTACTGCTCATTACTTTATTGTTTATTTATTATTTTTATATTTATATTGCATTATATTTATTATATTGGGTGCTGGCTGTGTTTTGATTGACAGATAAAGGTTGTGGTGTCAGTTTACAATAATCAACAAAATATTTTGGGTATTTTTTTTTCTAGGAAATTTGATCCTATGTTGGAAATCAATCTTCCAATTAGCAAGTTGATATTGAGTAATAATTACAATCTTTAGCATCAGTTATCTTGTTAAATGATTTGAAACTAAATCACATATAAGTCAAGCATAAAGTAATGGCCAACATGACTGAAGCTTTGACTGAAAATTCTGGTGAGAAAGATGAAGACTACTGTTTTTTTGGGACCATCAGCCCTACTGAAGCAGCTAAAATTTTGAAGGAAGGTACGTATATATTACAGCTGTCTATAGTTAGCAGAAGCCTTTGATAAAGTTCAACAGTTCAGTAAAATTGGTTTCCCAGATTACATAACATTGCAATATTTATCTCTGGAATCAAGTTTGTTGAAGAAAGACTACATTTTGTTCATTTTATTTTTATCATTTTGTTCATTTTATTTTATCATTTTCACTATATAGCCTGATTATATGTACAGTACCGTATATGTTTATATAGGATAAAAGGTGCAAAACTACTACTTCAACAATCTTAACTTGGATTGAAATGTTATAAAGGTGTAAGAAAATTTCTCACTAATTTTGATCATGAAATTAAATTGCCCATATTAATACCTGCTGCATTTAATCATGTTTCATGAACATCTAAATTCAATTAATTAATTAAGCTGGTTATTAAGATTTCTGCAATTTAGATTCGTATGGAAGCTAAATTATTGTTAAAAAATAAGACAAGAAAAGAAAAACAAGGCCAAACTGGCATTCATTAAATTTCATGCTGTTACAGTTGAAGATGTTGAGAAATTTCCAATTCAGAAGTTTTTTTTATGAAGTGCCCATAAAATCCGAATAAGCAAACTCAACTCAAAGTGTATTGAAACAAACAAATAGTTTTTAGTATAGATCTTATTTTCACTTTAGGTCATATATAATTAAAATGTGGAGCTATTTATTGGGCTGCATTCTTGTTGAGTCAATGTCATTAATGTCACAATGGAACACTGTATAAATGTATTTACTGGTTTTATGATCAAATTAATCCCTCAAAATATTTTGAACTTATTCATATAGGATAATTTTGTGAAATATAATTATTGGTGTGATAAGAATGATTTCATTCTGATTATTTAACACTGTTGAAGGTAAACTCCATTTTTTTCCTCAAATCTTGATAGCATATGACAATGACCTCTAATTTCCTCATCAGAAGGTGGTAGTGAAGGCACGTGGTTGGTTCGGGAAAGCAACTCATCTCCTGGCAACTTCGTCCTCAGTGTCATTATGGACGGAGAGCCTAAACATGCACTAATCCACAGACATCTCTCTGAAGATGCTGTCTTTAGTTTGAGTGAGTCAATTAAATATTGTTCAACTTGATAACAAATTGAGGGCTTGGATAATATTTTTCAATTTTGCTGTTTGGTGTTCAAGTCCAACTGATATTGTGCTATCTGTCCTTGACAGCATTCACAAATCTTGCTTTGCAGCAAGTTTTTAAACTTACGTACTTGGCTATCTTTTCCAAAGAATTTTAAGTTTTTTTGTGTGGGTTTAATTTTTCATAATGTGTGCTAATGCCATGAATTTCATTACACAATAAAACCATCAACTGGTTCTCGAACAACATCAATGAATGTTATATGTTTTTGTCACCTCAACATCTATGCCAGTGAGCTTCCCCATTAATTATTAGCTCCACTGAAAGTAAGATGTTATCTTAATTGGTTGCTTTTTGCATTTCAGCCATTGCAGAAAACATGCCAATATTCCATGGCCTGGACTCCCTCATTAATCACTACAAATGTCATCCTTTGAAGCCCTCTGCCCTCCTCTCCAATCCAGGGTTGGTTATTGGATAAATTCTACGTATATTTGTTCACAGTCAGTATTATTCAATTGATCTTCTCAGATTCAATTTCATCAATAAGTACTTTTTTATAATGATAATTATTATTAATTTTCCATTTATATATGATGAATGTTCATTCAGTGTATATTTTTTTTTTGTAGTATTATTAATGCATTGAAGCTATTTCATGTGTGAAAAGTTATTCTTCTTTTGCATCATCAATTCTATTTTGAAGTTAATCATTTGTCATGTTATAACATCATCTGTTATTAGAATTCTTATTTGAATTTTGTTGATAATTTTCTGAATCTCTACTTTAACTTTTATCTGAATTTTGTTGATAACTTTTCTGAATCTCTACTTGATTTTTTTTTTGTAATTTTGTTGATAAATTTTCTGAATCTCTACTTGAATTTTTATTTGAATTTTGTTGATAATTTTTCTGAATCTCTACTTGAATTTTATTTGAATTTTGTTGCTAACTTTTCTGAATCTCTACATGAGAAAAGGAGGAACTATGAAATTATCAATTTGTGCAGAAATGAGACTCATTTACTGTACACCCTGAAAAAAGTCTGCAGGAAAGACCCTTTACCGGCCAATTGTAAACTCCATGGCTCCAGTAATCTCCTGCATGCAGCTGTACGCAAAGGTAATGGAGGCATGAGGTTCTGAGTCAGTCAGTTCCTTCATAAGTCAATCATTTAAAATGTATTTCTTTTTAATTATAACCTGCTTCATGCAGCTGTACGCAAAGGTAATGGAGGCATGAGGTTCTATTCCTTTTCACAATGTATTTCCTTGGGGGTAATAAATACAAATTTTTTGCAAGATTATCTCTATTCATGTTTTTTATAAGAAGTTGTTTTGTGCCCAATATTTCATACAGTTATTGCATCTAGCCTACCTGTGAAAACATTGATGTCAATTTGTATTAAAATTAGTTATTATTACCCTTGACATGTAGAATGTCTACACCTAATTACATTGGTACATTAGTGTATAAGTAGTTCTTAAATGCATTTTTTGTTGGAGATCAGATCATTCTTAATTACATTACACGTGTTGGGACTCATCTAAATCTCTTCACTGTGCAGGAGATGTTGCTGCTGTAGTCCAGCTACTGCGCTCAGGTTACCGACAAGTTGACGCTCGCAACGAAGAAGGACTCACAGCCTTGCACATCGCATGTCTTACATGTGTGTCTCCTCAAAGATTTTACTCAAAATGATAAGCCACAGACTTTTTTAAAATGAGTTAATTTTTAATTTCCGGATTTACTCAAGATCTATATCGATTTCTTATGCATGATAATGCTGGTATTGATGATAATTTACTGGTCTACTTATTGATTGTACAAAATCATAGTGACAAACCATTGATTTTTTTTAGAATCAGTTCATTTTTAATTTCCTGATCTACTCAAGATCTAAACCAATTTCTTATGCATGATAATGCTGGTACCTATTCATGATACTTTACAGGTCTACTTAAAGGACTGAAAAATGAACTTGAGGAAGAGTCTAGAAAAGTCTGCTTTGACATTATGATTGTACTATATTCTGTCTGTATGATATGAATTACATAGTTGGTTGCTACCAGTTTACCAAATGTTGCATGAATAACTGTCAAGTTATGTTTTATTATTTCGTTTTTCTTCCGATCATTTTATCATCTATTATACAGGGAATTCAAAATTTGTTGAATGTCTATGGCATCCCCATGTCCAATTTTGCCGTAATTTACTTATATGAAAAGGGAGACAAGTTTTTATTTCCTTAACAAATTCAATAGTAAATGTTCTGCTAAGAGAAATTTTTACCTAACTGTATGGATTATAAGAGAAATATCGACCTTAATGTATGTATTACGCCAATTCTTTAGCATGAAAACTAAATAAATTCTATTCAGTTTGCATTCTTTGGTCACAGATAACGAGGAAATAATCCAGGAACTTCTGAAAGCAAGAGCTAAGCTCAAAGTGCGGGACTGTGAAGGCCTGTCACCATTGCATGTAAGTCACCTACGTAATTGTTCTGTAACTGCTCAGTATGATCCGCTGGAAAATATTCGCACGATACTATATTTTATGAATTGATATTTAGCCTGAATATTTATTGCCCTGTATTCTGTTTCAAACATCAAATTTATACGAATTCTTAACATGTGGAATGTGCTTATACTGAGCAACATTAATTTAACTGGTTCTACCACTTCAAAGCTGTAAATCATTAGCCGGAATTTAATAATTTGTGCCTCACTTGTTCTAAATATCATACATGAATATTTTCAACTAATCTCAATTCTCGTTATCTAAAGCTAAAACATTTGAGTATCAATCTTACTATTTATCAAAGATTTTTTGTAACACATTCATTGCAATCAGATCTCATTATTTTTGCGTAGTATTTGTGCAGACTGAATAAAGCAGCACTGGTTGAACTTCTAATTACCAGCGACCCATCAGCCATGCAGTGGCGAGTGCCGTCAAATGGTGAGTGTGCGTTGACTGCAACCAAATTAAACATAACAAGTTTCTTATGTTTGGAACAAATTTCTTTTTATTAATTCAGGTATAGCTGTGGACTGTGGATAAGAAACAAGAAGTTTTGTATGTTTGGAACGAATATCTTCTTATTAATTCAGGTATAGCTGTGGACTGTGGATAAGGAACCTAAAAAGTTTTGTATGTTTGGAACAAATAAATTCTTAATAATTCAGGTATAACTGGGGACTGATTAAGTTTTGGCCTTGGGGTTTTCATCTAGTTTTTCTGTCAATACCTAATAAGGCTTCTCGGTCCCTTTCTGTTCAGTAGGGTTCCTCTGTGAATTTGTATGCAAACTTTGTTTCATTTACACGTTGTGTGGTTTCGATGTAAAACTTTTGCTGGATTTAATATTCTACTTTATATCTGTATTTCTGTTCAGCACCGTATTGCTAAGTAGCATGCCGGTAAATTGGTTTAAAATTTAATTTCTCACTAATTAACAAATGAGTGTGCATCCCGTGCTCATTTCAAACTTGAGTTTTATTTTCAAAACAAAATTTTTTGAATTGAAAATCGTAATTAGTATTCAATTTTAATTTTGTAAATGCAAAATTTGCGTCAATAATGAGTATAATTCTGGGCAGCTGAGGTCGCTCTGCACGAAGCTGCCGCGAGCCGAAGTCTGGGGTGTGTGGAGAAGCTCCTGCTGCACGGGGCGCCCGCCCGCCCCCGCAACTCTGACGGGCAAACTCCCGAGGAACTCGCTCGTCTCAACCACGCCAACGACATCCTCAAGATACTCCGTGAGTTTCTGCGTCGCAAACACTTCATTACTGCAGTCATGTTCTTGATAAATGAAGTATGTGTTCCTACACGAGTGACTGCGTTGCAAACCCTGTTCCTTACTGCAGTCATGTTCTTGATAAATGAAGTACGTGTTCCTTCACGAGTGACTGTACGGGGAACGCTGAACGTTATTGCTGTTGTGTTGTTGCTACTTGAAAAACGAGCTCCATTGCCGTAATATTCTTGATAAGTAAAGTATAAGCTTATCCGTGAGTGTCTGCTTGGCAAATACTGAACGTTACTGCAGTCATGTACTTGATGCATGAAGTATGTGTTCTTTCGTGAGTGACTGCACGGGGAACACAGAACGTTATTGCTGTTCAGCTTTTATTGTTCGTGCGTACATGAAAAACGGGCTCCTCCGCGGAAGCCCGCGTGGCAAACACTGAATGTTATTGCGGGAATATTCCTAATAAGTGAAGTAAAAGCTTTTTCTTGAGAGACAGCGTGGTAAAATCTGAACGTTATTTTTGACTAAAAGATAAATCACATGACTGGTTACAGAGCGTCATGTGCCGCCACCACCGCGCTTCTCTTGCAGCGCCTTCCTTCACGGCGCCATGTCCCGCTACCGCTGCCAGCAGCTGCTCCATGACGCCGCTGGCCTGCCAGCCGGACCTCAGCTCCAGGTAGTTTGCATCACATCTTGCGGCAGAGGTGCTTATATCTTAACGTCAAGTCGCCACAGCATCAATGTTGCCGGATCCCAATAAAAACGATCTATTTTGTCAACAAAACTGAACTGCAACTTTCTAGAGAGATCACAGCAACTTCGTAGTTATAATGTGGTAATCAAACCCTAAAAGTCGTAGATCTGGCCTTTTTTACAGGTTTATTTTTGACGAGCATTGAGTTAGTGCTGTAGGTATCTGCTGAGTGGCGACCCGTGTGCCATTGACGGCAGTCCTGATGCCATTAGTTGCAACTGAAGTTTTATCAGAGTCTATCAGTGATCTCTTGGACCTAGAGAAATACTAGTTCTTGTTTGGCTGTTAGGCATTACTTGTGTACACTAAGATGAAATAACGCCTCTCTTTACTGTATGTACCCACAGAACGACGATGATGGTGACCGCCAGCAAGACACGTCACTCGTCGTGTCTGACGATGAAAATGACTGTACTGACAAAACCTTCGATGACACGACGCCTGGCCAGGGCGACGATGCTGTCGAAGACCACAGAGCTGCACGAGACGACAATGCTGCCGAAGAGACGTACTTTCTCGTGCGAGCTTCTGTTAAAACTTCCCGATTTGTCTTGTCTCTGAGATATGCCGCACAGACGTTGCACTTCGAAATACTTCAGACCGTAAGCTATTCTTTAAAGATAATTCTATATGTCTAAATAACTCTCTTTGCAAGACTTTGCTCATATATATTGTTATTGGTAGTGAGTTATTATTTCAGTATAATCTCCAATACAAATCGGTTGTCAATTTTATTGATCTTGGTACAGTGTATACTAATAATCCGTGACGTGAACACAATAGTGGAGTGGACTAGCAACTTTTCCAAAATTTATTATCAGACTGATTTTTTTTGCTTGGAGGGCCTTTTATAAGGTTCAATTTGATGAGGTTCAATTATAAGGTTCAATTTGATGTTCTAACGAATGTTAGAACATCAGTAAAATTAACTGTATAAATTTTTAATTTGAAGAGACAAGAGCACTGCACGTTGCCGCATTGCACAGCACGGTACCGCATGGCACTGCACGGTATCGCATTACACGTCATAGTACCGCATAACACTGCATGGCAGCGCATTGCACTGCATGGTACCGCATTGCACAGCATTACACGTCATGGTAATCATCTCTTATCACAACAGGACGCCGGCGAGCTTCACATCGACGACGGGCCGCTGTTCCCGTGCCTGGAGACGCTCGTCGACCACTACACGCGCCTGCAAGATGGCCTTCCCTGCCTCCTCGTCCATCCTGTCCCATTGCTGTCACGTCTCTTTGCTGTCACGTCTCTTTGCTGTCACGTCTCTTTGCTGTCACGTCTCTTACTGTCACGTCTCATGTGTGTTTTTCTTTATTATATCTGGCGTGCTCTGTGTTGTGTGCATACCGCGTGATGTCTACCTTGCCGGTTGTGTGTGTTGCTTTTTTTCTGTAGCGTTTCTGATGTTGGGAGTGGGGTTAGAAGACCGCTTTGAACGAACCAGCGAAACCATTACTAGTTGATCCATTATGATTAATTAATTCATTGGGACTCTAGGCAAAACATCTTTATTCCGGCTAAAGTTGTACTCTTTATCTTGTTTCAGCATTTAGTTGTACTGCCGGAAAAAATTTAATAGATAATATGTTCCACAATGAGTAGGTTCTATGGATGAAATGTTCCACAATATAGGAGCCTATTTAATGTAGCTTATAATACAGTACCATTTTATGGTGCAGGACACAGACGTGGCGACAGTTTCATCTGTAGACAGCAGGTTACGAGCCTCGTCTGACACGCGCCAGCTGCTGGCGTCAGACAGCGACTTGCTGCGCGACTTCGAGCCCAGCGTGGAGGACCTCAGCACATCTGATGCTCCTGGTGAGGTTTAGCTCTCCTGAGAACTATTGGGCTTGAAGGGTTCTCATTTATGACAAAATAAAGTTTCTTGCATTCAAGAAATGAATTTTTATGTGTGTCAAAATTTGGTCTCTCGGTTTTTCGAAATAAATAAACGTGTTGTTCTTAGGAGTACCCAGGGTGAACCTCATCACTTCTGATAAGAAATGGAGGGATGACTGAAAAATACGTATTCTATTGGGGCTTTGATGTTTTCTGTGCAGTAATGTTAGGTCCTTTACATTCCGAAAAAAAGTTGAGAATAATATACCGTATTTCATAGTTTTTTTAATTTTTAACAATATTATCTCAGAATTTGAATGAGAAATGTATCGTGTTTCCGCTCTCAAATTCTTCGCTGATTCTCCCTAATAACTCTCCAGGAAACTCTTAATTCTATTTCTAACAATCAAAGCATTGCTTTTACATTTCCAATTTCCTCAATTCATAAAGTCGTAGTTCGAAGTGTGTAAATAAGTTAATAATTTTAAAGTTTTCAAATAATTCTCTGTTAACCTGTCTTTAGTGAAGCTTAATTCTTAAAATACTTATCTCACTTACGCTGGTCTGCATTTTCATGATAAAATTGGTCTTGGAATCTCAAAATTTTTCGAGTGGATTCTGTACATTTTTTTTTTTTTTTTTTTTTGTCGTCCGTGATTTTTATACAATTTGTCATTTATCTTCCTGACCAGATCAAAGAGCTGCGGAGTCTTTAATGAGAGCATTTGATGTGAGTATCAGAGTTCTGGAAATTAATTTTTTATTAGTTTGCTGTCTTCTTTTCGTGCTATTCAGCTCACATCCTGCTAATTAACAATGAGCATTATTCATTTATGTGTTCTTGAATGACACTATCTGCAATGGGATTCACGATGCTGAAATACGCGTCTATACTTGTTATACCACTGTAATTAAAGCTCTGTATCTGCAATATTATCATGCTTGTGCATTACCCGTCCATAGTTTTTATACTACGTAAAGCCAAACTCTGTATCCGCAATGTCGTCATGCGTCCGAAATACACTCTCATCCGTATAATATAACTGCATATCTAAATTCTGTATGTGCAAAGTGAAATGTACGTAATTATTGTACTACTTGAGCCAAGCTCTGTATGTGCAAAGAGAAATACACTTACTTATTATGGTATACATAGATAAGTTTTTTATCTGTAAGGTGTTTCACGCTGCTAATATAATATGACCATACTTACCTACTCTTATACTACATAAAGTCAAGCTCTGTATGTGCAGCATCTACGCACGGACGCGGGTGTGGGGAGCGTGTCGGCCGTACCCAACACCGAGTCTCCCGCCCTGCAGGGCGACAAGACGTCCGAGGTGTGCGGCACCATCCACCCCAGCAGCCTGAGTCTCGGGCCCACGCTCGGCGCCGGGGAGTTTGGTTCCGTTATCAAGGGCGTCTGGAGGAGTCCTGCCGGTGACCAGGTCAAGCGTGGTTATATTTTTACAACTTCTTTGTTAATTCAACTGGAATTTCATTTGCATTATTCTATTGTGTTCTGGGTCATTTCTCGGGAATTGGGTATATATGCTGGTGAATGCACGAGACTTGTCTAAAAGAATTAGAGTGTTGGGCTGATGAGCCTTCTGTTTTACATTTCTTTAGGAAGCGTACATGTCAACGTGTACAAAATGTAATTTTTGGACATTTATTCTTTGGCGTTTCTCTTTTATCCAGTCGTGTTCAATTGAAAATTCAACTACAGGGTGACACAAAAAAAACAGAGCTCACTAAAAGTCTTATAACTCCTGAAATTTTATTCAGTTTGAAACAAAAATTCTATGGAATTATGTACAACCCTGTCTCTTATACACATCTAGATGTGTATAAGAGACAGATAGTGCAATGGTCAAGGGACTTAATATTGCAATGGTNGGGCGTCTGGAGGAGTCCTGCCGGTGACCAGGTCAAGCGTGGTTATATTTTTACAACTTCTTTGTTAATTCAACTGGAATTTCATTTGCATTATTCTATTGTGTTCTGGGTCATTTCTCGGGAATTGGGTATATATGCTGGTGAATGCACGAGACTTGTCTAAAAGAATTAGAGTGTTGGGCTGATGAGCCTTCTGTTTTACATTTCTTTAGGAAGCGTACATGTCAACGTGTACAAAATGTAATTTTTGGACATTTATTCTTTGGCGTTTCTCTTTTATCCAGTCGTGTTCAATTGAAAATTCAACTATGATCTGAGCTTAGTTTAATAACGTGGAAAGTGCACTTATTTATGTTCTAATTTGGCCATAACTTCGGCTGTGAAGCTCACCTCATTCATAAATAGCTGAATGTGAAAGGATATTTCTGTACTCGTATAATAATGTGTAAAATATTATTAAATTAAGTTCGATACCTTCCTTACTTCTCCTCCTGCTGTTGGCTATCTTAAAGGTATAATTAATATTATTATATACTATAAAGCAATACTTATTTTTCTTGTATTACAGGTGCCTGTGGCAGTAAAGACTCTCCACGACGCCTGTTCCTCCAACAGAAAGCTCTTCATGCAGGAGGCTCAGCTCATGGTCAACCTCAACCACCCGTACATCGTCAAGCTGCTGGGCGTGTGNCAGACATCGTCTCTCGTTGTTGAAAGCAAACAGCCCTTATTAGTTATTAAAGTTAAAAAGTTATTCATTTCTAATCTACTGTGTAATTTTTTTTAGATCTTGCAGTCTGCAAGAATACCCTTGCATGTATAATAAAAAATAATCATATTCACCCTTATTTCGTGGCCATTTTCATTTCAATGAAACTATAGCTGCAAATAATATCGCATTGATTTCTCATTTTCTTTGCTTTTAAATTCTGAATTAATTTGCGATATAAGAACACCAATGATATGATTACCTGAATCCATTGTGTTTTCACAATTACCGGTATCAGCTTTATTTGAGTTAATGAAGGTTTCGATCGCGCTTAGAATCAAAATATATAATTAACATCGGACTGTTAAAAGTTGATCGTTTTTGCGCTATTCTCAAGGCTGGATCCTCAGCTGAATGGTATGAGCTCCGCTGAAAAATCGCTTTCATTTTAATGGCGATCGGAAAATTACAGGCCTTACCTAACCATCATTAATGCATTGTGCATATCACCTGTGTGTCATTTACTGAAATGTTACATGTTATGTATTGCCTTTACCTGTGTGTGTCACCGTGACGCTCTACAACTGCCGCGAATCATCTATTCATCACGTAACTTAGTTTCCTCATTTACAGGTGCAAGAACTGGCGGCGATGGGGGCGCTGTTGGACCACCTCCTCGACCACCCCAACGACGTCGACCCTAAATTCCATCTGAAGCTCTGGCCCGCTCAGGTGGCGCTTGGTACGACTTATGCCGTGTTCCCTCCCATTATTTGTTCAGAGTGCTCTTGCATTATATTGTTCGTGTCTTCATTGGGGCTGCGTGTATGCAAAGAGACATTTTTACATTCTCACCCAGAGCAGTTGTTTTTCATCCATACTGCTACTCCATAAGACGTGCTGTTCGTGTTCTTCAGAGTGGACGTTTGGTCTCACTGCGATCAAAATTAGCTTTAATTATGTAAATTTATCCCTAATAGGTTTAATAAATCATGAAACTGAACTAGAAACAATGATAGATCATTCTACAACCATCTACGTCATTTAATGAGTGCCTTGCTCAAAAATTGAGTAACATTGTGAATGACAGAAGTCATCCACTAAATACTACTGTCTACACTTCTGTTGCTTAAGCACGTGATCATTTTATATCTTTAAATGCATAAGTCTTGTTTATGTACGCAAATCGGTAATGTGCATTGGCCATCCTCGCAGCATACAAGACTGCCTATTCATTATATGTCGGTGACGGCCGCCCTTTCGGAATTTTAGAATCGAAGCTTGTCTGATACAAAATTTTTTACCCCTTAAGCGAGGTTCACATTTGAAAAATCAACACAAAATAATCTTAAGTTCTCTTTCGTTCTCTTACTTTAACCAGCACGCCTACCTCTTTATAGAGTTATTTTTATTCACTGATCCCGTGTCGCATTAGGGTTTTTATATTGCGAATCACGATGCACGGGGACAACTTGATCTCACATGATCTCTGCGCTAACGATGCTTATCGACTTTGTTCAGGAATGCAGTACCTGGAGCAGAAGCGCTTCGTACACCGGGATCTGGCATGCCGTAACTTGCTGCTCTCGTCTCCCACGCTCGTCAAAATAACAGACTTTGGTTTGTCTCGAGCCACGGGCCAAGGGTCCGACTACTACAAGGCTAGCCAGGGCGGCAAGTGGCCCTTAAAATGGTCAGTAAATATCATCTTTCAGGCACTTTTTGGACAACACTAATTCTGTACCGTCAATGAAACATGAGTTGCCACACAGCAAAAATTGCACTTAATACCTGCTGCTCCTATTGATGCACTAAAGCATGTTGAGAATCGTGCGATACATGTCAAAAATTTAGTTGATTGTGTTTGATTTATGCCTGAAATCACCAAGTTGTTTGAATGTTATTGATAGTTCTAACTCTACTTCATTTGCAGAAAAGTTATTTCCTATCTTAAACAGTCAACACAAGTTTTATTTGACTCGTATGTTGTTGTCGTTTTTGTATTATTCTATTAACATTACTATCATGGAAAACCTTTTTATCAGATTTTCTCTATTTAAGTCTTAGTAAAAAAAACTACCGCGAAACCTGTGACAATCTCCCACAATTTTCGTGAGTTAACGAAAGTTAATATCGATTAGGTACGCTCCGGAGAGTATAAACTACGGCCGGTTTACGCACAGTAGCGACGTGTGGAGCTACGGCATCACGCTCTGGGAGATGTACACATTTGGTGATCAACCCTACGGGCAGCTGCCTGGCTTTAAGGTAAATTATTGTTGCCATAAGAAATCTCTGAAACTCGACGATTCATCACGTTATACGTTAAGTATAAAATATTTTACTAGCATCGGTAGAAAGTGGGGAACAGTGAACGTTTGGCATGAGATTTCATTGTGCTCATTATTTTATTGTGAATTATCGTTTTTATCCATGTCAGTTTGATCCAAATATTTTCATACTTATAGATCTATATAGTAATTAACGTCAATGTTACTACTGACTAATCAACATTATGGAATGAGTGCGTTTCATTATCTCCTTGTCACTGATTTATTTAACCATTTTAGAATGCTTGTGTTTGTATGTACATTGACATTGCTGTGTTCCCAGGTGGTTGATCTCTTGGAGCGTGGTGAGCGACTGCCTCAGCCTGCGTCGTGCAGCAACGCTGTCTACCGCCTCATGACGCGCTGCTGGCACCTCCAGCCCCAGCAGCGCCCCACCTTCGTTCAGCTCGCCCAGCACTTCTCGGGCGGCTCCGAATACGTCGACGTTAAGCCTTACCTTATGACCAAAGGATAAATTGCTCCCAGGCACCACTCAAAATTATGAAGTCTTGTCCCACGGTTGTACTTTTCTGCTACATTTGGTTATCTTCGTTCAGCTCGCCCAGCACTTCTCGGGCGGATCCGAATACGTCGACGTTAAGCCTTACCTTATGACCAAAGGATAAATTACTCCCAGGCACCACTCAAAATTATTCTCGGGCGGCTCCGAATACGTCGACGTTAAGCCTTACCTTATGACCAAAGGATAAATTGCTCCCAGACACCACTCAAAATTATTCTCGGGCGGCTCCGAATACGTCGATGTTAAGCCTTACCTTATGACCAAAGGATAAATTGCTCCCAGACACCACTCAAAATTATTCTCGGGCGGCTCCGAATACGTCGATGTTAAGCCTTACCTTATGACCAAAGGATAAATTGCTCCCAGACACCACTCAAAATTATGAAGTCTTGCCCCTCTGTTGTACTTTTCTGCTACCTTTTGGTTAGTGCAGGGTGGCGCGCGGTAATTTGCTGATTTGGGAATGAAATAAAAAAATTATGATCACTAGAAAAATTTATTTTATATTTGAATTATACTGAACGGTAATGGAATTTATAAATTACATGGTTTTAAATAGTGTATCTGGCAAATGTCGACCTTCGCATTCCACCCACTGCTGCATACGTTTTCTGAAGTTTTCATGAACTCTGACAAGCATGCCCACTGGTATTCTGCCAATTTCATCTTCAATATTGTTCCTTATTGTATCCAAGGTATTGGGGCGGTTGATATACACCTTAAACTTCAGGTAACCCCAGAGAAAAAAATCGCATGGGGCTAAATCTGGTGAGCGTGCTGGCCAGGTCACGTCACCCCTCGATGAGATAAGCCCTCCAGGAAACATTTGCCTCAAACAATTCATGGTCACCCTCGCTGTGTGTGCAGTGGCACCATCCTGTTGGAACCATGTATCCTCTAATTCCATTGCTTCAAGAGCTGACTGAAAATAATCCTGTATCATAGACAAGTACCATTCGGAGTTCACAGTTATGGCACGACCGCTATCGTGAAAAAAGGAAGGCCCAATGATGCCTACTCGCGATATGGCGCACCACACAGTGACGCGGTCCGAATGCAGAGGCCTCTCTGCATTATATTCTCTCAGGTCCCCTTCGTAGACATGACACATTCCCCGCTGTTCTGAATGCATTCACCCAATTTACAATTGATTGCCGTCCAGGAACACGTCCGCGTGAAGGAACAGCGAATCGTGAACGACAAGCACGCTGCACTGCAATGATCGAGTGGGCATTTAAAAAATACGCTTCTACACAAAATGACTTCTCCTCACGTGTCCACTGCATGATGGCAACTGAGAGCCAGACGAATACAAATTTCCCGCCATCCACTGTAAGCCACGACCACTCTCCTCTGTCTTCGACCGTCAGTGCCACCACAGCATGCAGTGCAAAAAAGCAAATTACCGCGCTCCACCCTGTATATATGCAATGTGGCCTGCGAACTCAAGTGTTATCGCCAACACAACTGGCCTGCATCGGCAGCTGAATTTAATAAAAGATTACTGTTTCTGATAAATAAGTTCGTCATTTGGCTCCTTTGACGGCTTCAGGGAATTTCCTTACCAAGAGGGGATACTTTAATCCAGAGCAGGAACCAAGCGCGCCATCTTGCTAGTTTTGACAACTCAATCAATCATGAGTTGAGCAGTTCGACTTTATCAAATCGCGGAAGATGAATATAATGATTCTTTGAGCTTAGTGAATAAGATTTATGTTGTACTTTGCGCCGCTTCTTCCCAACACAAAAATTATGTGATAGTCAACACACGATGCATTTTACTGTTAGGTTTGATTTTGCGAATTAATCAAGCTTAACTGTCTAGTGCTGCCATATCGGGCGACTTATTATTGAGTCGCATGTTTGTATGTATTGGTTATCATCTGCCGTCAAAATTAATGTGCTTCTAAAGAATACCAAGAATGGCTTCTCACCTTCACAATTTCTATTTGCAATGTAACAACAATAATGTACATTTGTGGCCTTGGACGGTTGTGTGTGATTCGTGCATTCCAATTCTTTTTATGTACAGATTAAGAGTCATTTATTTTTTTAAGCATTGTAAATTAATATTTTTGATACTTCATTATTAAGACTTGCCCAGAAATTTTCTGCTTATTTCCTGCACTTTTTGATGTCAGAATTCACTTGTTAAGCTTGCACGCGTAACGCAGTGCGGAGCTCATCTCTGCACTTAATCAGCAGGAGCAGAAAGCGAGAAAGAATTCACCTTTTTTTATTCGCTTTTGTTTGTGGCATAAAGAGATTGAACAATTTTTTGCAATTTTCTTCATAGGCGCTTTAATTATGTGCATGTATGTTTACCGAGCAATTTTAACTGATGTTTAAATCGAATGATAAGTCTTCTGAATGATATACAGCCGTTTCTTCCGGAAATTGTTTCTAAGAATAAGACCTTTCTTTACAACGCCTACGACATCTAAGACTTATGTTTTCTACGTTGAATTTAGTCTGCATTGTAACTTATAACTCGTTCGGTTTCGAATAATCAGTGCAATTACTTTGTAGCTTTTGGATTCGCTATATTTTATTTTTGTACTGTATGTTTTTGAAATGGGGTTGCGGTGAATTATAAGAGATTTAATATAATATATTATAAGAGATTTAATGTAATATATGATTACAAAGCTTCACGTTGATTTAAATGTTCGCACATTTACCTATTTAAACAGAATTTAGATCACTTCAGTTGACCATCCGTGAACCCGGTCAAACTCAAACCTGACCCTCAAATGAGATATCTTCTTCTTTATGGTGCAGTAAATACTCTATAGTTGAATAAAACTCCAGTTCTGAGGGTGTACATGCACACGGCAGCATTTGGTACAAGTTTTCTTTAGAAGCCCTTTAAAGGTGTCTGGCATGATGAAGTTTATTGGGTCGTCCTCAAATTCCCAATTCTCATGTCACAAATATGAATTCAATGCTATTGGCCCTTCATACCAATACGAAATGCAGTGTCAAGCTAATCACTATGAAATAGCTTCAAGAACCACATCGACAAAACAAAATTAATACCGTAGTGTGAAATGGTCCAATCGATGGTATATCTGTCTGTATTTATTAGGTCTGTAGCGATGTCTGTATTTATTAGGCCATTAAACATGTCGCCGATTCTTAACATTGCAGAATACCCACAGGGTATTGCGGATACGAACACGAAACTCACTGCTTCAAATTTGCTGAGCCTCAACCACCTGGCCTCCTCGCCCATTTGACCAGAACAGACGGAGGTAGCTGGGATAGAGCCCGCACACCTCTACTCTATTACGGGTACTCTGAACTATAACCACTGGGCCACCATGCCCAGTGCTTGGTCGGGTCAGTCCCGGGGTCACATATATACGTCACATACGTCTCAAGCACCTGGTCGCTCTGAATCTCAACAAGTCATGAGGACCAGATCGCTCCCACCCTAGATTGCTCAAAGAATTTGCAACCGTTCTGGCCTGCCCTTTCAAAAACCCTCGAACGAAGGAACTTTGCCGTCCGACTGGAAAGAAGCTCAAGTAATACCATTGTTCAAAAAAAGTGACAATAGTATCCCCGGTAACTATCGCCCTGTCAATCTGACAAGTGTTGTTTGTAAGGCAATGGAATCTTTTGCGAAGGACAGGATTATCGATCATTTGACTGTTAACCATCTCCTATCAGACTGTCAACATGGCTTTACTGCCGGTAGATCCTGCTCCACTAACCTCTTGTCTACGTTGAACGATTGGACTCGCCTGCTGGAGGGAAGGGAGCCAGTGGATGCAGTGTACTTCGGTTTTGCCAAAGCATTTGACAGTGTTCCGCATGAGCTGCTGTTGCGTAAAGTGGAATCTTTACGAATAGAAGGAAATGTCCTCCAGGCTCCAATGTTTCAGAGACTTATTGCAAGGCTCGTAAGGCGCTAGATATTTCAAGACTGAACATATGCTCCTGCATAGCTTCGTCTACAACCCCTGGCAAAAATTATGGTATCACCGGCCTTGGGGGATGTTCATTCAGTTGTTTAACTTAGTAGAAAAAAAGCAGATCACAGACATGACACAAAACTAAAGTAATTTCAAATGGCAACTTTCTGGCTTTAAGAAACACTATAAGAAATCAAGAAAAAAATTGTGCATGCAGTCAGTAACGTTTATTTTATTCATTTTTTTTTTGGACCAAGCAGAGGGAAAAAAATATGAAATCACTCAATTCTGAGGAAAAAATTATGGAATAACCCTGTAAATTTCCATCCCCAAAACTAACACCTGCATCAAATTAGATCTGGAGTTCTGTTCTAACCGTTGAGGCAAGAGGTTCTTTGTGCTGAGCTCCCGTGACAGTAGCTGGCTTCGGCCGGCTGCTACGTCATCTTTCTGGAACTATCTCTCTCGAACTTTGAAAATGCCGTGCTGTCCCGCTCCGAGGCGTTGAGCCGGTGAATGGTACGACCAGCTAAAGTGAAGTTTAACTCCTGAACACCTATAAATGCTCCCGGCATCTAACTGCAAAATTCGTTACAAAGATTTTATGATCCCTCCAAGTGTGGTTAGTGCCCACGATGGGAAGGGATAGCTCGCTGGATGAGACAGCGAGGGCAGGGGTCAGCAGCGCCTTGTTGGGAGCTCCTGAGGCCAGGTAGGCGGAGACAGCGGTGCTGTGCAGGGTGCTGAGGGCAGTGAAGTAGGGGTCGGGGGGGGATCCCTCCTCCAGCAGATGAGAGACCGAAGGGAGGAAGCGGGACTGAAGCATGTGCTTCATGGGACAGGGCCCTGATGTCTGGGTGACGATAGGGTAGCTGGGATGGTGTGGTCGAAGGGCACTGGCAATGAACTGTGAGCAGAGTAGAGAGAGGTGTTCGGTCACGGGTAAGACCTCACCTTCGCTGTGCAAGTGGGAAGCGGAGGCCATTTGAAGAGTTTTGAATGGTTTGCAGCTTGGAGATTGCCGAGGGAGAGGCGTTAGGGAACCACACTGGGGCAGCGTAGGTGATGAGAGACTTTATAAGAGCCTTAAAAGTCACCAAGAGGGTTTTCTTCTGCTGTCCCCAGCTGGTTCCGGCAAGGGATTTGAGGATGTTGAGGCGCGGTTGAGGCGCGGGCGGGCTGGATGCCTCTGGGACCCAGGTGACGGAGGTGGAGGATAGTGAGGGAGTTCGGGCCAGTGGCGGTGGAGGTAGCCGAGCTCCATACCGCCTGTCTGGTCTGATCCGCAATGAACAGGGGNATCATTTTTTCGGTTTATTCTAATGCAAAATGTTGCTCTGAACGAGTTGAGAGGAATGTTTGGAGTCAAAGAGCATTTAATGTGTGTCCCGCATGGGACAGGTGCTCCTTATACGCTGTTGACGGTGGCGTTCATAACATAACATAGTGATGTCGGCGCTGAAGTGTAGGCCTGATGTGGCCTGTCGCCGATTCTTTTCCTTTTCGTGCCTTGTTCATAGATCTAAAATCGTGTCATTTGACCGGATCTTTTCATGACTGACGATAGTTTGAAGTAGCTACTAGATTCAAGTAAATTACCATCACCTCTGATAACGCTCATATCTCTCTCGATATTTTGCCATTTGTTCCAGTCTTTTCCAAAACTACTTTTTTAGTTATGGCTTACTATGAACAAAAATGTAGAGGCGTGAAAATTAAATGTCTCCTGCCCCTATTTATTAACTTGCTCTTCGTGTCGTCGTGACAACGTGTTATTTTGTCTGAACAGTGTGATCACTATATTTGGGTTTGGCTATAAAACTTTGACTTCAAGTTATTCAAGTATATATCCTTCGAAATTGCGTAATTGTTATCCTTATTGTTCATATCACTCAAAATGGTTTTTCAAGGCCGTGCCTCTGCTCGCCAGATGGCCTAACAGAGTCATGTATCTGTCATTTCACCTTAGTGACCCAAATTAATGTTATTTAAAACCAATGCAATAGAAAGAATGCACTTGGAAATAAGCTCATCAAGCTATATGTTACTCATTTGATTTTCCTTGATTGGCCTTTAACTGTTTTGCCATTATTTTGGAGAAAGATCAGCGTCAATACGGTTCTATTATAACTGTCCTACACGGTTCTATTATAAGGTGGCGATCTGCTGTTCTTCAATGCAGTCTGCCATGATCTTTACCTCTCTCGTTTTCTGATTCCATGACGTAGTATTTTGAATTTATTAAAGTAATTTCTGTTCGTTGACATTGTGAGACGTGGGAATGCTAGCAGCGCGGTAGGAGTTCCTTTAGATCTGACTCGAGCCATCCGTTTGCTTCTGCCCAATTAACGCCCAGTCAGAGAGAACGGAGGAAGAGACCAGACTGCCCTAGCGTCTTTCAATTTCTGCTATTTTTCGACTGAAAAACGGTATGAGTTTTCCTAACTGACCATAATTAGGTCTGGAGACCAGGTTAGGCACTGTATTATAGATGTGTAAATGATTATCACTACTGAAGTTACTTAATGCTGCAATGACTTAGGTCGGTGCTAATGTTATAAATATATAGCTAATTTATATTTAACAGTATTCCAAATACGGTTAATAACTAATTGTGATGCATAAGGCAGTAACATGAATAATATTATTGAGTTAGAGTTGATGGGTAACTTTGCTAAATTATAATGGGCTAGCAACAATTTTAGAAAATGAGTTGCGGGAGTAACTCGAGGCAACGTATACGGCATATACATGGTCGCTACAACATTATTGTCACAATTACCTACAGAAAAAACATTAGGCTGGCGAAATTTCTGGTTTCGGGTCTCTGCCTTAAGAAACGGACTTCCCTCTGGCGTCCTAGACGCCTTGAGTACGTATGTAAGCGTTGAAAATTGAATATCAGAAACGGTAGATATAGCCATGCCGTGGAAAATCTTTGAATTGGATGTGCCACCACCCTCTTTGGAGGGAGAGTAAGAAACAAGTGTTAGCAGAAAACCATGTTTCAGATACTTTGTATGTTAATATACTTGGCCAACGATATGGTGGCAGCGTCGCTAAAAGTTAGGAGCGCCAAGATTGGATCATCGACTTAGTTTAAGAGCCACGACATGAACTGCAAACAATGTGAAATATCTAGAATCGGCAACAGGTCACAATTGCCTAATAGACGTTGACACCCCAATTATTATGGCAAGATGCGAGTGTAAGATATTGTCAAAAGACTTGATTTTCAACCGCCGGGGAAGAAGTCATGAACATTACAGAAAATGACAGTCGGTCATAATTGGCCTTATCTTTAACAGGGACGCCTTTACGTGGGGGGGGAGGGAGTTATAGAAACAACACACTATTGAGCTGCAAATACGATGCAGAGCCTAGTTAAGTCGAAATTTGACCATTCCATCACATGTGCATGTAGGTTAACGAGCGCGTATTCAAAACAAGAAAAGTTTGGTATACGTTACACGTGATTGCAAGGAATGTTGTTGAACTGCACATATTTAACGTGAATCATGTGATACAGAAAAAAATATAACTCTGTACTCACTGCAGTGAGTGACAGAGAGCGCATTTTCTCGTCGACGAAAACTTGAGGTCACGGACGGACGGACATGGCGAGCACAATAGTGCATTTTTTCCATAAATGAGAAAATGCGCTGAAAAGCAGCTTTGCAATATATGCATATACTGCTAAATTAAGTCTTAATTACGAGTTCTTAATAATTGAGCTCGTCGTGGTCTTACAATGAGTCAGATGGTATCAAATAATAACGAAGAAATAGAGCTTAGGAAAATTCTGAGAGGACGAAAAAAGAGGAAACGCCAAATAAGTGAAGGCGGGAAACTGCATGATAGAATAGCTAACAATTTTATAAATAGGAATATTTTCTAATGAACGTATGTATAAATATATATATAATGGACTAATGACAGTTGGGGTTATGACCTAATCTGCGGAAGAGCCAGGGAGTTGTCATGAATGAACTATATGCATCTGTATGATAGTATTAATGTCACTTATTTGCTTAAATCGCAAGTTGACTAAAAATTTAAAAACAAAGAGCATCTGTATGATGCTCTGTGCACGAGGAATATAGCGAGACTGGAGGTTCGCTACACGACGATAAGGCACAGGCATGGTCGTCATTTGTAAGCGATAATTAAGTTAAGCCTCTACGTTTCAGAGCCAGTTTATTAAAGCTAAAAGTAAAGTGGCTAATTGCCACTCTGCTTCCCCCAAAAAATGTATAAAAAGAACTTCGAGTTTGCGAATTTTTTCCCGCATTACTGCCACTCCATCGACAGGAATCGCGTGAGAGTATGGCGTTCACTACTAATAGTCTAGTTACGGCTCGAAAATTTTTGTGTATTCAGTGCTTGCGACATGGTGGCGCGCACAATCGTTGGAAGTAAGGATAGTGTGGGTCTTTCCTGACTCTATTTTTGAATGTCGTCCATGCGGCGACGCAATTAGTCAAGGATAATATAGAACCTACCGATTAGCCGATGATAGCAAGAAGTACCGCTGTAAAATAATTACTGCTGATGATACAGAATGGCAGTAGAATCATTGGAGGATATAAGGTATGAATGATACACGTTTAGATAAGGAAAAATTAAAGAGGATTTGAGAATTGAAACATGCCTAAAAACAAAATATTATAACACGACAATATGCTTCAGGTTATGGAAACACAAGCATAATGTAAATATTGAAAAACGAAATTCTGAAATATACTGAACTTACACACTTGACGCACGCTGCACTATCTTCACTTTAATTAGGACTTGCATTGCTTGTCTTCTTTTCAGCACGACACAATGGAATAAAGCTATGTATCAGGTTTGCGAAGCCCTTTCACCACTTAGCCCCTCGTTCGATAAGAAACACCAGTCACTACCTCATCTCCAGCACAATGTATGATGGAGCTTGAACTCTGTCGTGCCAACTTCCCCTCTTCCGCAGAGCTCCGAAGAATAAATTTAAGCACGTTGTATAATTAATTTCAGTTTCTACTAGTTAATTGAACTATCAAAACAACATCTCAGACTTACGATTTTACCAAGGCCTTTGCCCTCAGGTTTGTCCTGCTCAACCTCTGCAGGCTCTGCTGCCCGTCCGGACGTGAGGCGAGTGTTGAGAAGTCCTTGGTAAGTGGACAGAAGAAGAATTCAACAACATGCAAGCTTGCAAGCAGAAACAGCAATGCAAATCGAATTGTCAAACTATGGTATGGTTTACGGCCTGATACTAGATAGGCGACTGAAATTGTGTTACTATTAATATGAATAATTAAAAAATTGGAATTTATGAAACTAGGATTCATTTCACATGTTAGAAATTTCCTAAAAAGATTGAAGATTCCCTCTTTGTCCCAAAAAGATTTCCTCTAAGGACTTTGCATATTTCACTGCACAGTTCTGTAGCTCTGTTGATACTGGAACTGGAGGTTGTAATTTTAGCATTTCTGCATCATCACTGTTGTTGAATGAATTCTAATCAGTATCTGTTGTGTTGTTGAGGTTTTGTGAAGTTCTTCTATGAGCAATTGAGCATCGACAAAATGTTGTGCCTGTTCACTCTAGTTCCAAGTACAGTGGTACTTGATTAGTATAAACAATAATGGCATTAAGGTATTACAGCAAAGTCCAGGACATTACAAAACACTTGCATGAGCGATGAGCCACAGTCTTGATGGGACTTTGCATGAATACCTATAATCACATCACACATGCCGGGGTCCCTTATGCCTTCTGCTTCTGGTCTACCATCTACACCATAACACCAGGTCTATGACATCAACACCAATCTTCGTATGATTGTAGAAGTAAACAGTTTCAGGAATGTTCTTATAGTTGTCAGAGAAATATACTGAGTTGAAGATTGCTGAGCAAAAGAACATTCATTGAAGTTTTTGCCTGAAATATCATTAGTCATATTTCTGGTTTGTAATCTCATTGTCAAATGGAGTGGAGGTTTCATCATCTTTGAAGCTGGTGTAATTTTTCTCCTATTTTTGTTCATTGTTCCTATTATGCTAGTTTTCTTAGTTTCTAATTTCTCCGCTAGTTTGAGTAATGTGATGAAGATGTCAGTGATTACATTTTGTCCTTTCAATATGTAAGGATCCATGTGTTTCAAAAACAACATGCTCAGAGAGGGAGATACCTTCAGCCTCAGGTCGATGAACACCCTTCCCTAAGTAGGGAAATCCATTCAATAAATACTTAGGCTTGCTGAGTTGCTGTCAGCTGCTAATGCAAATTTGTCAGGTAATCGGGTTTACTAGCACTAGCAGTGTATTGTGTGAATGGATATCTGGCCTTTGTAGGAAAGAGTTCATCATCTATTGTGATATTTTCATTTGAATGTAGCAAAACTTGCAGTTTTTTATAAATTGTTTCCAAATAGGGTATGCAATAAAAAATTTATTTGTTTGAAGTCTCTGTTTGTGTGGTGCAAGGCGAAGAGGAGTACTATTTTTTCAATCCTGCAGCCTGCTGTCCATATGAAACACTCTCCAGAGTCCAAACTTGTTCTGACAAGTGTGAACACAATGCTACTAATGAGTATGGTCTTGTAACACGCAACTTCAATAGTCTTTGCATCTGTATGATGCTCTGTGAAAATGAAATCTAATTAAATCTACCATGAGGTCAAAATAACCAGTGACCTCATGGTGAATGGAGGTATAGCACATTATTAGCACTCAATTNTGTAGTAGAACTTGTCTCTTATACACATCTAGATGTGTATAAGAGACAGCCATATATGGTAACTTACCTGCAAAATGATTAATTATGCCAGTAAATTGTGCCATGAACTTTCAATCAACAAAACTGCTAAATGTATCCTCTTTTATATAGTACCTATATGTACTGTCTAGTTGAATACATTTTTACAAGCTGTTTATTTGCAGTTTAGAAATAATTTTGGACTTGTGCATATTACTAATACATCTTAGGAATTAATAAATAAAACCAGCAGAGATGTGCTCTGTCAAATCCATCATCTTGGAGAGTCTTGGCATCATCAGTAAGCTGGGTGAGTCATCAGGATTCAGAAACTAGGTTTTAAGTGTTACTTGACATAGTGTTCTCAAGTTGCAGCCTTTTATATATCATGGTCATCAAGAGTACATGATGCAAGAGTTAAGCCCATATTTTTGTAGTATCAGTCTAATCTTAATAAACATTAGAGTTATTAAAATAGAATTAAATGTTGAATTGTAAAATAAACATAATCTCATTCCAAGTGATGAGTAACTAAACCTTGCACTAGAGAAGTTTGTCATTTTTCAATTTCACAACTTTCATGGGCTTGCTGTACCTTATGAAGCTGCAGTTGCACACTGTGTTATATTTATCCCACCACACTGATACTGACTACTATGAAACTTTTCTACATGAAATTCTAGCTTATGGAATCTACAATGGCAGATATAGGGAACTATGTAATTGAAAACCAGCTGTGAAATTTGTGTATGATTTTATGTTGATATTCATTTAGTGCCAGTCTGTCATAATATTGATCCTGCTTTTTACTGTTGTACCTTACTAAACAAATGACAGATCAAATAAAATTATTTAGCACTTACAATTTTTTTCCAAAATATATCTACTTTTGTTTTATTTAAATGCATTCATAGGAATGTGCAATCAAGTACAGAAATTAAAGAAATTTTTAAATACTTTTTCTCACACTACTGTGCAAATGCTGCTGCTGCTAAGTGGGCAATTGCTTTAAATACTTTATATATTTGTTAGTGCCATAAATTGCAGTATACCGTATGTATTGTTATTTGATTAATTTTGCACTCATAAGAAGAATAAATTGTTCAAAATTTTGGGAAAGGCAACTTTAGGTGAAACTAGTTAACATAGGAAGTAAAAGATTACCTATGTCTAAATTGGGAATGAAGTTAAGAGATGATCCAGTAATGAATTGTTTAGAGTTCATTTGTGTTAAGTAGCACATAAATGACATGCAGTGGCAATAACATACCTATGATCATCTATGCAGGGGAGGCCAATACAAGCACAAAAAAAGAGCATGTTGAGTCTACAACAAGGAAGGCTCTTTCAGTGCTCAGTGCTGGACATGCATCCAAAAAGCCTCCCTCTGGCATATCTTGTGGCTGTTCAAGAGCAACAGTTGAGACACGAGTGTTGCAACAAGTGAAAGAAATGATTGAACTTATTGAAGATTACGAGGAAAAATCCATGTAAGTCTAGATTTATATACTTTTTAAATTTCTTTTTAGTTAGCTTACTGTAAGGGTAGAAAATAATTCACAAAGAAATGCCTGTTTGTTTATCAAACTCAGTTAGATTGATCCTGTTGATAGTTGCATTTCTCAAGCTTGAAAGGTAAAATTGCACATTAGAATCCATTTCCTTACAATTTAAATGCAATTCAGTGCTTGGGTTTGAAGAGGCTTTTTGGTTTCTTAGAATTATAAACAAAAATTTTTTTGAAACTAATGCAAAACTTATGGTAGTAATTGAAAATTACCTGACATTACTGTTCTATGTTTGTCTGTTGAGAAATGAATTAGATGCTTATGACTGTCAATTGATGCATATTTGCTGCTTGAGTGTGCATTGTGCATTTTATGGGACCTTGCAAATATAGCAATAAAATTTGCAATGATACCAAAAGCTAATGAACATACTTCAGCAAGCACCAAATGACTTTAACACAATTTTGTGCTGATAAATTTATTTTGACAGCATTGAGAGTGGATGTGTAGCAGCAGCACTGCTACAACAGCTCCTGTACCATACTGACCAATGTCCTGGATGCCTCAATGCCACTGAAATGGAGAACAGTCACAAGGGTTCTATTCTCATCAATGTCAAGCACCGCAAAGTAAGAACTGTTGTGCACTCTTTTTGCTTGGTTCTTGATTCAAAAACAATTCATGATGAAAGATGAAGTCATGCTGTTAGTATCAACCATCTTTCCATCAAGCATTACTATAAAATAAAGTATTAATATCTTTTTGCTTTGTTCATGATTCATGATCCTTTTATGATTAAGGATAAAGTATCAGTATCAAGCAATGTTCTCTTTCTTATTGGCTATCTGGCCTCAATATCAGATTCTACTGATTAAAGTTTTTCTTTTAACCCTTGAATGCAATATTGGTCATAAAAATGCATAATATGATTAACTTTCATTCTGTGTGCAAATATTTGTATTTTATTTCTGTTTATGTACCTACTAGAGTGAAATGCTTTAAATAGGATAAGGTGACTCTGCACATTAACTCTAACTTCAAGATTAGAGACTGACATGGTTTTATGGTTAAAATGAATTCATTTTCCTTGTGTTCTGTATTTAGTCAGTGCAAATTGATTGAAGAGAATCTAATTTGCATTTAATTTGTTTCCTTGATGCCTGCATTGGTGTTTGAAAGTCATCAGGCTGATGCACTCTTTGCAAATTCAGAAACACCTACATAAAGGCACAGTGTAGAATGTAGATGAATACCAATATTTGACATTTTTTTAGAAGTATTCAAGAGTATTAGTATTGGGCAATCAATTTGGGCCATTTCTTATCTGTAAAATAAAATGATTTCTTATTATTTTCCATGCCTATTTTAATTTAGCTTATCTCATTATTGAGTGTAGGTAAAGAACTTCTGGTTTCCACTCGTCCTCCTGTGCATGTTTATTCTCCTCATAGATATTAGCCTACGATGGGAATTAATAATGCTACGACTGCTGCAGGTGGCAGAGCAAGTGTCGCGCGTGGTGCTGCACACAGCGGTGCTGTCCTGTCTAGACGAGGAAGCCAGACTCTACCCTAAGATGGCTCTTGTCAAGAAGAAGGCACTCATTGGGGGCAGGTTGCTGGAGGTACCGCCTCACTGTCGGCATGAGTTCCTCAAGAGCTGCATGTCCATTATGCTTCCCGTTTTTAAGGTAACTATCTCTTACCTAACCAGTGTTTTTGGTGCTTGGCAATCGCTTTTTTTATTTTGGGCCGTTTGAAATTCCCTTGAGACTTTCTACATATTACAGATATTTTGAAAACATTGATATTTTTGTAAGCATTCAAGAGATTAAACTTATGCTTTCCTCATCTGAACCCATTAGGTCGGTGTTTACCCGTAGTAGTGTAGTAAAACTGTGTCCTTGAGTTCATTTAGTTGCTTGGCAATCGCTTTTTTTATTTTGGGCCGTTTGAAATTCCCTTGAGACTTCCTACATATTACAGATATTTTTAAAACATTGATATTTTTGTAAGCATTCAAGAGATTAAACTTATGCTTTCATCATCTGAACCCATTAGGTCAGTGTTTACCCGTAGTAGTGGAGTAAAACTGTGTCCTTGAGTTCATTTAGTTTCTTCAGAACTACTACATAAATCTGATTCAATGATTGAATTTCTCAGAATTTATTGACTCTTCTCAGTCTTTTGGGCTCTTTGTTTGAAAGACAAATTCTTTCTCCCACTTTCGAATACTTTCGTAACTAGTCATTATTTTCTTGGTAATAAATCTGTAAATTTATTTTTGCCTAGTGGGCTAGGTGACTGTTGTGCTCAATATATCTATGTTCCTACTCTTTCTAAACACGGTTAAGTGAATTTATGAAGATACCTCATCATGGTTTTATTTCCTTTGAGTTAGTTTATTTTACCTGAATATTCAAGTCTTGAATTGTAGCCGAGCAAAACCAGTTTCATTCCTTAGCACTGTGAACATGATTATTCCTATTCATAATGCATCATTCCTTGTTCATGTATGCCAATTTGAGACAGTCAATGTTAGATCAGTAATTTGGGTGCGAGATTGAAATTTGAATACAAGTTTAGTGATGTATTAATGGTATCTCCAAGATGTCTGATGAGCAAGTAATGTAAGGAAATGTGTTTCCGGTCACACCTCTCACTTAACATTTATATGTATGACCTGAGGTTGGTTTGGTAAATGGTAGTGATGCCAGGATTAATGAGGTATGGCTTTATAGTTTATAGAGTATTATTGGAAGATTATATGCTGCTTACAGTTTATGGGAATAGAGTCTTGTATGTCAGAGCTTGAACACTACTGTCATCAGCTCACCTAACGTATTCTACCCTCGAATCTAGTTGATTTTACTATCATTTTAACATGGATATGAGTAAGGGCTTACGCAAGACTGTTCTTGCCCAAGACTTAAGTTCCTAGTAAATCACAGTGTTTCATGGCTAATACATAAGGCGTGAGTCGTCACAAGGGCATGAGTCACTACCAGGTAAATAGGAAGAGGGCAAATTGATAGGAAAGATTTCATGGACATATCCAAATCAAGGAAATTATCTTAAAACAAGAAAGTTATTAATGAGGAATTATCCAAGGTTGAATTACAGTAACAAATTGTCACCTGACATTAATCGCCTGAGAATTCATTCCTGAACTTTTTAAGTCTCATTTTATAAACACCTCACATTTTATCAAAATTAGTACAGTCATGAGCTTGAGAGTGGTTCGACGTGACAATATTAGATTAACGGATGGTGATCAAAGATCAAAATAAGACATGATAAATAATAACCCGAATTTGTTGTCATAGTCACTTTCCATGACAATTAAACTTCAGGCTTTAAACTGTTTTTACCTCAGTCAAAACCTGCCGATGTAAACTAAGTTTTTGTATTTATAATACAAGTTCAATAATATTGTCTGGCACTTTATGAAGCCTAATGTGTGTCTCTCTTGGCAGCACCCATACTACGGCATAGGAGTGCGGACCAACCTTGCTGGGGAGGTGCTGACCGCTGCGCTGCAGTTGTGCTTTGCTCCAGCCCACGCTCGAGGTCAGTCATGTAACACGCTCTGTGTTCATCATTCAAAGCTGTGAGTGTTGTTCAAGCTTTTAATTGCAAAAAAATTCTTTTTTAATGGATGGAATTTCATACTATATTTACAGTCAATGAAGATTAAATATGTATAAATAATGTAATCTTTATTATTTTTTCGCTTGTTAAGGATGATTTAATCAAGAAATTTGTCTTAATATTATATATTAATATATTTACATATTACTATTGGTAAATTACTGTGACTATGTTTAAAAATTTTTTTCCATGGGCGATGAAATTATTGACCAGGTTTGTGCATCTGCATCTTGCTAGCACCTTGTTCTTGCGTGTTCTTTCCATAAAATATGCTGATAATTACAGTGATTACTTGAGGACTGTGGTTCTCTGCGTCTGACTTTTCTGCACTGTCGTGTCTGATGCTTTTGTCTTCATCTTCTGGTGTGCTCCTCGTGAAATAGTTATCTTCACTTTTAAATTTATGCATCGTTTATGCCCTTTAATTAAGATGATTTTTAGTTGATGTTAATATGATTTTTTTCATACAGTCCAATTGCTTGTAGGTTATTTGAAAATCTTATAGCCAAAATAATTTAGGCTTTTCAATGTAAACGCAACTGATGCATGCTTTTCTTGCCTATATTCTTATTGTAACTACTAAACGAACCCCCAAAAGATGATGAAAGTACTGTAAAACATTAGTATTAAATTATTTCCTTCTACTATTATATGTTAGTACCACACTACCACTGTTAAAATTTATTGCCAGTCTAAAAACTGCTCTGATATTTCTTGGCTCTGGTGGATGCATTACCGTACCATTGTAAAGCATGTCTTGACCAGAACTGCGATTCTTTAAATTCTTGTCTTATCTTTAAACTGTGATTCTTAGAGTATTTAACTTCCCATCTTGATTTTGACCTCAAAATTTAATTTTCTTATTGCTTGGGCTAGAGACTTCTAGTGTGTATATATTTGACTAACATTATTCTTTGTTGGGGTTGGTCTCAAGAACCGCATATATGGTCGTGTTTAGATTACCCTGAGGACTGCGGCTACTTCAGGCAGCATCTTGAGGCTGCCCTTGCCAGCGTCGAGCCCACCATAGCGCTGCGCCACCTCCTCCTGCTACGCGGCATCGCTGCCACTGCTCAGGTCTGTCCAGCTCAGGTCTGTCCAGCTCAGGTCTGTCCAGCTCAGGTCTGTCCAGCTCAGGTCTGTTCTGCTCAGGTCTGTTCTGCTCAGGTCTGTCCGGCTCAGGTCTGTTCTACTCAGGCGGCAGAATGTTTCTGAATGTTAGAATGTTTCTGCGGCATTTATTCGAAAATTGAAGTCGAAGTTGTAAGTTGTGATTACCTGTGCCACAATGTTTAATGTTCAGACAGATTTTGTGTCTTTTTTTCAAGTAAGCACATGCCAATAGTCTTACTGAAGAAGAATTTCACTCCATATGTTCATTAATTTTTCGCTTGTTTCAACCTTAAAAATCTCTGCAATTTTTCCGAAAATTGGTCAAGTTGTGAATATTTCCTTTCTGAATGATTGAATATATTGAAGTATTTTAAAGTACAGTCGATTTTCCAGCTACTTTTAATTCCATAATTTTTGCCCAGAAAGTAGAATTTTGTCTAGCATCTGATGAACTTGCTAGCAATATGACAGTGGCACATGAGGAATTTGGATATCTGTTCCCACTGAACTTTTCCAAATATAATTTAAAATCCCCATGAATTATTCTGTTCTTCATAAATCTGTACTTTCTTAATAAAAAAAAATCTGTACTTTCTTAAAATTCCTAGTTAAATTTACAATTTTCTATCAGCATTTTGATGTTTGTTTTTATTTTTCTTGCTAAACCATGTTTGCGTGTGTTCAGAAGTCGACGTGGCTGCTGAAAGTGTGCACCGCCATGTCCGTGCGGCGGTATTTGCTGCGTGAGAAAAACGACGGCGTGCGTCTCGTGGTGCGTGCAGGCCTCGACATCGCCGACGGCGACGACTGGCGACAGTGTGAAGCCGTGGCCACCCTCGTCGCCAGGGCCAGGGTGCAGGATGTCGAAGGATTTTACAAGATAATTGGACCTCAGGTGAAGAACTAAGAAGTGGCGCGTATCGAATAGCGTTCAAAAGGGTTCGGATGTAAACAACTCTCGATATTCATTTAGAGACATTAGTCTACTTGGTGAAGTTTGTGAGTGTAATTTGATAATACTGTATTTACGCTCATTTGTGTTCTAATGGCTTGTGAGTAGAGTTTCATTATTTCCGAATTTCCGAGACGAATTCGTTATCTTTTACCACAGGTTGCTCGGATCCTAGCGAGTGAGGAGTGTCGTCGTGTGGGCGGCAGTGTGGTGCGTGTCATGAGCATCATTTTATCGCAGCTGATGCAGCGATCTCCATCACTCACACTTCAGTACTTGGCCGCACCCTTGTTGTCTCCTCTCATGCAACTGACTCAGAGAAGACCGCCTTGCCCATCACCTGACAGTGGCCAGTTTTCCCTTGGCGATTCCACCACGTCTCCTTGCTCGAAATCTTCTAAGTCATTACCGACTTCTTCACCTTCTTCTGTTAACACCACGCATGAGAACTGTGAAGACGCCTCACACTCCTCGACAGCTGGCGATCAATCGACGTCTGTACCAAATATTTCCCCCAGTAACAATGGAATCTTGCACAAGACAGGTGACGATCACACATGTTGCTCTGCCAACGACTGCATCAAATGCGTCAAATTATCGGCTACAAACGGCGACGGGATAAGCGTGACACCAGGCAGTAGTGTGTCATCCACGCTTCAAATGAACGGTGACTGCAGCTCTTCACTCACCAGTGACAGTGGCGATGACGACGACATGCGTGAGGAACGGAAGTTTCTAAAGATTGAAGATGAAGACTATAAATATCAGTGTGGCCTCACGCCCATGTGGGAAGAAGGAGGGTTAGTGACGCTCGCGGTGTTTGTGGTTATGCACCCAAGTTGACCACAATGTTACTGCTGGTCTTATTATGTATTTGTTTGCGACTATGATATTTAAAGGGTCGTGCATGAGTACATGACAGTGCTGGTTTAGATGTCAAGTGCGACTTTTTGAAAGTTTCTACATTAGAAAAAAATTGAATTTACATTCTTGTTTTCCACCTTGCCCCTATATTTGCTTGATTGCTATTATATTCGGGTGACGGACAATGTAAGGTTTGTCGTGATGTTACAGGGCCGGTGTGGCACGATGCGTGCAGGTTCTGTACCGCATCATCGTGCTGGGGGGCGGTGGTGAAGGCTGCGCTGCGGTCCTAACTCCTGCACTCTGCCCTTTACTTGCGGTGGCCGCCATACCTTCGCCCTGCCGCACGAGAACTCCTGCCTCTAACTGCATCGTCAAGTGAGTTCACGCATTACAATCCTACGATTAGGCCTTAGCTGGCTGTGTACTAGGTACTTATTAAATTTCTGCCTTAGCTGGCTGTGCACTCGTACTTATTAAATTTCTGCCTTAGCTGGCTGTGTACTAGGTACTTATTAAATTTCTGCCTTAGCTGGCTGTGATGTTCTAATGGCTTGTGAGTAGAGTTTCATTATTTCCGAATTTCCGAGACGAATTCGTTATCTTTTACCACAGGTTGCTCGGATCCTAGCGAGTGAGGAGTGTCGTCGTGTGGGCGGCAGTGTGGTGCGTGTCATGAGCATCATTTTATCGCAGCTGATGCAGCGATCTCCATCACTCACACTTCAGTACTTGGCCGCACCCTTGTTGTCTCCTCTCATGCAACTGACTCAGAGAAGACCGCCTTGCCCGTCACCTGACAGTGGCCAGTCTTCCCTGGGCGATTCCACCACGTCTCCTTGCTCGAAATCTTCTAAGTCATTACCGACTTCTTCACCTTCTTCTGTTAACACCACGCATGAGAACTGTGAAGACGCCTCACACTCCTCGACAGCTGGCGATCAATCGACGTCTGTACCAAATATTTCCCCCAGTAACAATGGAATCTTGCACAAGACAGGTGACGATCACACATGTTGCTCTGCCAACGACTGCATCAAATGCGTCAAATTATCGGCTACAAACGGCGACGGGATAAGCGTGACACCAGGCAGTAGTGTGTCATCCACGCTTCAAATGAACGGTGACTGCAGCTCTTCACTCACCAGTGACAGTGGCGATGACGACGACATGCGTGAGGAACGGAAGTTTCTAAAGATTGAAGATGAAGACTATAAATATCAGTGTGGCCTCACGCCCATGTGGGAAGAAGGAGGGTTAGTGACGCTCGCGGTGTTTGTGGTTATGCACCCAAGTTGACCACAATGTTACTGCTGGTCTTATTATGTATTTGTTTGCGACTATGATATTTAAAGGGTCGTGCATGAGTACATGACAGTGCTGGTTTAGATGTCAAGTGCGACTTTTTGAAAGTTTCTACATTAGAAAAAAATTGAATTTACATTCTTGTTTTCCACCTTGCCCCTATATTTGCTTGATTGCTATTATATTCGGGTGACGGACAATGTAAGGTTTGTCGTGATGTTACAGGGCCGGTGTGGCACGATGCGTGCAGGTTCTGTACCGCATCATCGTGCTGGGGGGCGGTGGTGAAGGCTGCGCTGCGGTCCTAACTCCTGCACTCTGCCCTTTACTTGCGGTGGCCGCCATACCTTCGCCCTGCCGCACGAGAACTCCTGCCTCTAACTGCATCGTCAAGTGAGTTCACGCATTACAATCCTACGATTAGGCCTTAGCTGGCTATGTACAAACGCTTATTAAATTTTTACCTTAGCTGGCTGTGTACTCGTACTTATTAAATTTCTGCCTTAGCTGGCTGTGTACTAGGTACTTATTAAATTTCTGCCTTAGCTGGCTGTGCACTAGGTAATTATTAAATTTCTGCCTTAGCTGGTTGCGTGCTTTCACTGATTAAATTTCTACATCCTGATGGAGTCTGTTTTATATTCGGCTGTCTAAGACCTCATCTACTGTATAATTCACAGCCAAGCTGTTTAATTCTCTTCCCAATTAGAAGAACTCTCAACGCATTCCTGGGTAAATGTATTTATAACACCGTATAATTGAAGGGAAAGGTGTGATTTTTTTTGTCATACCCTAAGCGTTGCTTCCCTGTGAAACCTTGTTGTGGAAATGGTGAGAAACATGTTACCTAGGAAGCATAATGTAAGTAATGGGAACCTTCCTAAATTTCGCCTTTAAGGGAACTTCGTTAAGATAACAGTGTCGAATTACGTGAAAAAACGCCAAACAGAAAAGATGTCGAGGCTGCAGTTCACACGAGTATCTTCTGTATTCGGCGAACGCTAAATACAACAATCCTGAAGGGTCGGTCACAGGACATCATAAATTACGAAATATCATCTCAGAGCTTCTGGTAAAACAAACAAATGTCATTTCAAATTCAGAGCGGATTCAAAAGTGAACGTCTGCACCTTAATTTGGTTCAGAGCTAGTTTCAAGCGAACACTCCACGCATGATGGGAATGGTGCGGAACAAGCTCTCATGGTGAATCCATGAGAGCTTGTTTATAAGTTTCATCGTACTAGATGCGCCGTTAGCGACAGACGCAGCTCAAGCATCTCTAGTACTGCAGTGAGATTTTTTGTTACGTTTCATCTATGGCTTCTTCTTCTCTTGTATGTTAACGCTGCTTCTTTCCATCACCTCCTGCGATTTGGCCATTTGAGGTCTTTCGCTTCTTGCTGTTGATGGAAAATTATCATTCCTGCGCACAAATCAACTTATTATATTAAGTAAATTTTTTATCCACTTCGATTCCACCCAATTTTACTCGAATAAGTTATGCAACATGCGCCGTTACACCGAGCTTTCTGCAGCCTCAACATCAGAGTTCTGATACAGAAAACTACGATCAAACTTGGGATAGTGTCTTATCCCGTAACAAATGTACATAGTATGGCGATGCTGCGAAATTGTGCAACCTTGATAGTCCTCCCCACTTGATGTCTAATGCTCTATGTCTAGCATTAGGTTTCAAAAACTAAAGCTAGTCGATCATGCCGGTTATGCCGCGGCGACCATTTGCACATGGTTCCCAGTAAGCTGTAGTTCTGATTCATTGACAGCTTATTCCGCTCGTTCATTCTTTACATTTCTGCATCTCTCATTCAGGGACATATTCATGGTAAATTTTTGAGCTACAAAACGGATATTTTCTTCGACACCTTCTTCCAGTGCATAGATAAAAATTGTTTATCCTTGTCGGTTGTGTATATGTTTATGTTACTCAGTATATATTTCTTGAGTAGCATTTAGTAACCTGGTTTTTTATTAATTCTTCTTTTTAATACGTTTAATAATCATTTTCCTCCTCCCCCAATTCTTGTGCGAGAAGTCGATACTTGCCTGATGCATTGACATTAAAATTGTGTTGTGCAGACACCTTAGCAACACGAGTAACAGCAGCTGCGTAGAGAAGCTGTTGATGCTGACAGGCTTGTGTCAAAGCGTAGAATCTCCTGCTGTTCTGGACTCCGTGCGACTCAGGATAAGCGGTGACGGAGGCATAGAGGTAGAAGAACTAGACCTCGAGGGCGTTCCGATCAACGAGTTCTACAACGATATGATCGGCCAGGATAGCTACGTTGCCTTAGCGCTCGTTAAAATCCTTGGTCAACTGAAGAATCCTACGGTTGTTCGAAAATTCTTCAGCGAGCTACCAAAGTTAATGAAGTTTCAAGAAAAGGATAAACAAAAGAAAAACAATTCTAATCTACTTCTCACTGAACAGGTAAAGAGTTTTTATCCTTTCATGACATTATTCTTTTCGTTCATAGCTGCTTATAAATTATTCTTTAACTATTTTTCTCATCAGTAAATTTGTCGGAATGTATTATTAGTTCTGAGTGATTTGTTCTGCGCAATTTTCTCTCTAGAATGCCAATTCTTAACTCCATGGCGACTTCAATTATTTCAGGACGAAATAGACGAAGGCCTACGCAAAGTCCGGATTGTAGGAATGGTCTGTGAACTGCTGAGGCTAATCAGCGAAGAAGATGAGCTTATGGAGAGCGTTTTTGTGAGCGTGTCCGAGGCGGTGCCCATGGTGATGGAGTTGCTTAAGGCTGCTTCTGAGCCGTGCGATGAAGAAAATTTGAAGAAATTACAGGTGAATGTCTGATGCCTGATTATTTTCCCTATGAATATTCTAATTTAAGTGACTTGAGGCTAGCGCTGTCTAACTAGAAACTTGCACAATACATCTGCTCATTAAGATTACATTTTATTGCAAGTTTTTAATACCATCATTTTTTATAAACAGATTTCTCTAGTTTGTTGCGCTACACTGTACTTTTACGTATCATTTAATGAGCATCAAAGCTCAAGTATTTCACGATGAATGAAAGTATAATAAATGCTCATCTGAACTCATCAGTCTATTTTCCTACCGCTTCGCAATGTTTACTGGTAATTTGTTTACAGGAAGCGATAATGGTGCTCGTTGTGATGATGCTATGCGAGTTCGTATGCGGTGCGAGACACGCTCAGTGCATGACAAGTTCCGACTGGCGAAGTTTACAGCAAGTGTTGGAGCCTATGCGACGCATCAAGAACACATGCTCTAGGGTTACCATCGTCAAGTTCATCCAAAGGCTCGAACACGCAATCCTCACGCGAGGTGTCATCTCTGGTAGTCCGGATAATGCCACAGCTCAAGAATCCCTGCAGCAGTTGCTCCCAACAAGTACCATTCCAGTCAAAAAGGGCATTAAGAAAGAACCACTTGTCCAAGAATTGCCGAGTAAAACTAATCTCAAGAGTTCAAATCTAGATATCGTTGCCAAAAAATGCAAGCGAGATGTAGAGAACGAAAACTCGAATACAACTTTCGAAAGAAACGTCGATGTTAATGAAGATAACGAAGAGGATACAGTTTTGGACGACAGATTGAAGAGTGTTTATAACCCATATGTGGAAGCCAGCTCATCAACTTCCGTCGCTGTGATTTCATCTTCATCCACACCCATTGTAACTTGCAATAATAAGAATTCCACTTTAAAACACGACTTCGATACGGCAATGGAAGAAGTATTTTCTCCGTTGGTCCCTGTTTGTGGACACGCGTTAATTTCTTTCACTAAGCTTATTGAGGCGGGCGATGAGAAGGCCAAAGCCAACAGTGTAGAAATCTTAGGTCTCTTTGAGCATCATCTAAAAAATGAAGACTCTTACGTGTACCTGGCAGCTGTGGAAGGCCTCTCGGCACTTTGCGATGCTTTCCCCGATAAATTAGTACCAATTATTTGTGATGAAATGAAAAGCGACAGAAGTGCTGTCGACAGAGCTAAGATGGCCGAAGTAATCACTAGATCGGCTCGACGTTTATCATCAGCTTTACCCAAATACAAGCAATATTTTTTCAACTCATTGCTGGGAGGAGTAAAGGATGAAGACCCAATAGTTCGGGCGGCTTGTCTGTCGAGCTTAGGTGAAGTATGTAAAGAGCTGCGCTTGAGTGTCGGGCCTGAGGCCGTAGAAATTTTTAGCGTTATCGAGACGGTGATCCGATGCGATGATGTTGTGGAGCCAAGGAGAGCAGCACTCCTACTAGCAACTCTTTTGTTGCGTGGACTTGGTACAGATGCTATAAGGTTTCTAAGTGACGTTCTTAAAGACCTGTACCAGCGCCTCAAGGAGGCCGCCAAAAAGGACAAGGACGAAGTTACTCGTACCCACGCCGTGGTCGCACTTGACGAACTCGACAGCATTATGCGAGCATTCCTCGTTCCCAAACTCAACACCACCAAAAAAATCTACATTAAAGAAGCACCTCCGAAACTCTTTTGAACATATTTATTGTGCTTAACATATTCATTAATTCTCATTTGGAGAAAGGGTGTTTCACTTAAGTTTTCATTTGTCAATATACAGCGTTTGGTGACAGTGATGCATTAAGAGGGCTCAGTATTTCCTGTGACTATTTATTTTGTAACATGAAATTTATCGTGTAATCACGATAATATAACAGCAATTTAGCTTAACACTCAACCAGCTCTGTAAATATTTACTTGGTGTTGCTGTCCTGTGCCTGTGATTGTAATATCTCCGCTTAGGTACCTTCTAAGCCAAACATTCTAACGTGATATTGTGTCGAGATTTATTTCCAGTATAAGCCAAATTTTTCAATACGTAATCATAATTACTGTGAAGAAATAGAATATTCAATTATAATCATTTTTCCTCTGTTTCTTTAAATGGCATTTGTTTTCTATTTTTTTTTTCTGTATTGTCAGTTTGGCTTCATTATCATCTTTTACGATTTCATTTTGTAAACGCCCAATTAAATTTTTCTTGAATAGTCTTAATTTCTTTCAAATTTTCGATCGACATTTTCATACTGAACTTGTTCACAATAAACAGCGAATAAATTGTAGGTTAAATAAGACTATGCTGGTAGAATTGAAATCTCAGGAGTGTTTCGAATGCCTGGGATATTTCCGTATACTTTTCATGGCTAATGTTGCTTTTAAATGATGAAACGTTTTCGAGTGGCTGCACTTTTTCGTTTCGAGTGCACTGCAGTGCACTGCAGAAACGTTTTCGAGTGCACTGCAGCTCACGGCTGCACTTTTTCTTCGAACAGCGTCGTACGATGGTTTTATAGAAGTTTAATGTGCTTGTAACGGTTAAATTTTTGTCTTTGACTGAAATATAAACTAGATCTTTTTTTGATGCTTGCAAAAAATAATTCGTTTCTGTTTATTATGGTCGCTTCTCCCAATTCGCACACCAATCTCTGATCAACGATTCAACCCCCAAATTTGAGGACAACCGCAGTTCAGTCATGAAAATATATTGTTCTTATGATCAAGTGGGTGGAGAATACATGCGTTCGAAATGAATACATGCGTTCGAATAGTACCTTTTGTGTTGGTATTATATGGCCCAGGTTGGTAGAAACGATCGAACGACTCGTCATTTGAACATGATTACTCCAGTGGGATTGATATCGTCCTCGTCACTAGAGGGATATATGTGCCATCCCTTTGAGATAGTCTAAGGTTTTAATATTTAATAAAAGTGCCTAAAACCTTCAACTCGTTTACATTGATTCCTCGTAGAAATTCCTCTCATCTAAATCTCTTCTGTCCTGCTTAAGTATTGTAGCCTAGTATTTAATTTAGACATTCGACAGAATATTATTTTCGGAACTTTTTTATGCTCTCTACCTTCAGAAAAATGACTGAAACTTTGTCCAAAAAGGTGGTAGCGAAAGTGGTAGCAAGCTGGTCTGAAGTGACTTCTACTTGTCCAAAGAGCAATTCACTTCTTGCCTCTGTGTGGGTTCGAGTGCAACATAACCTTCCGTGCAGTAAAGCCCAAATTTGCTTTTTGGTTGAATCGTTAACGTTTCCTAAGTAGGTAGTTGTCAAGCTTGACTACTTATTTGTAATAGAAGTTAGCATTTAATTCGTTCACTGTGTAGCAATATAGTTGAACATAAAACACGTTTACATTGTCTAGATTTTTTTTTTTTTTTGAATTGCCAACGTGGCTGTTCGTATGATTTTTAGTTGATTGCCTTAATCATTAATGTTATATCATTCAATTCATCTCAGGAGCCATTTGTCGGTCACAGTCGGTGGCTAGTCTGGTGTCGGCACCGGCGACTGAACGAGCTGCATACCCTGAGTAATCTGGCAGTTATAAAATGCTAAAGTTGGATTCTTTTTGTTTGAACAGAACTCTTGACGATTTTTGTGGCGTTCATAACTCAGCAGGGAGATGAAAACACGAAAAGTAACTATTTAAAGGTAGTCCTCGCTTTGCTATATAGTATGTATAACAGCTCCTCTGCGGCTTTACTTATATGCATAGCATAGTCAGTGTTGCGCCTTTTGACTTTGTTTAAAATGAAAAATTCTTTCTAAAACAGCTTACCGAATTATTTTAAGTTAAATCATCGTATCTTCAATTGCCAATTATGTGTTTCTAGCACATGTACATCACGTGTCTCAGGAATGATGGCTGAAAAGACAAGTGGAACTGATTCCAAATTAGAGAACACAGTATTACTGTATTACTAAGGTTCAATCAAACTTGTTTGCTAGGCTCTCTACATATGCTAGATCTAAAACTGTCCATTACGAAATTATTTAAAGCAGAGAATCTTAAATGGGATAATCAAACCTTACAAGGTAGTTCAGTTTTTAGGAGAGTTATAGTTAAACGCATGTCCATCCAGGTGAACGAAAATAACTAACGACGTAGTTTCGTTACGTCAGCTGAGCGAACATTCACGGACAGTGTGGCGCCGCAGTCACCCTTGACTTGCATGAACATATGAGCCAATAGAAAACACCAAAGAAAAAACCCCTCCACCGTAGCTATCAACTTCAAACTCAGCTCAAATGCAAAATAGTATTTTAGGGTTTGTTATTGTCTTTTTTTTCACAAATGCACGTTTCCGTAAACTTTATTCATATTATAGCTCTGAAGCTATCACGTTTGTAACTCATTCTAATAAGGAAATTGAAGAGTTCCCTGAGAGGCGAAAGCATCTGTCGTGTGGTTTTAGAGTAAAATCAATCTTTGAATTGCATAATAAAAGTTTACGCTTTCGCTTCAAAGAAACCCTATCTATGTCTCATGTCTCGCATGCTTCAAGTTAAACATATGGGTAATTTTACTACAGGCAGAGACTTTTCATTACGACAATCATAGAGGTTTCATCACATCGACCTTGTTATTCATAATGAAGCAAGATTCTACACCCTCAGCACTATAACTTCGAGTGAAATTTTTGTACGTTACATCAGAAAATTTCCTTGTAAACATTAACTTGTTGCTCATTTACTGGCAAAGATTCAGGATAACGGTAAATATTTCATTAGTCTATTATTGTATAAATTGAATAATTGCGACTATACATTCTGAAAACTTACCTGATGTTTTGACTGCGCAAAGGCGCTCCGAGTAAACAAATAGTCTGTGTATTGAGTTGAGTACAACGAGATAGGGAGTCGTAGCGGCTGAGTGAGTGCTGATGACTGAGCGCCGAGGCTCACCGAGACCGTAGACGTCAGTTGCGAATGAAACGTGATTGGGGTAGGGTTGTGGGCCGTATTTTGGCTCTCGTTCCGTTTATATTCATTTCATTTAGCATATAATTCTAGGTAATAAGTCAAGTATTTTAACAGTGTTCAACATTATTTCAAATTGACGAGTGCTTAAAGTTCTGCATTTTATCGGGTTGTAGTGTGGTTCATAATTTGCAAGTGCAGTTGGCCACTTACCTTCAGACGCTTCTCAGCTAAAACGTGAGTTAATGGAAACGATTTACCGCTCCGATACTTGAAATATTTAGCTTCATTGCTTGTTTTACGTTTGCTCCAATTAATATAATTGCATGGTGTTAAATTATATCAATAAGGACCATTGATTGCTGTTAAATGGTATATGGTAACGTGCAGCTGCCTACACTTACAGTGGCTTGAAACTTGAAAGTAGCACGAAAGTACTTAATTTTCCTTTCAACTAAACTTTTCTTTAGATTAGAAACTTACATGACTTCTGTTTTTTGGCATTTTGAATATGCATCAATAGCTTGCATGCGCAAAAATGTGCATGGATTCTATTTCTAGTTTATTTACTGTGCATTATTCGTTCTTGTACCGTTCCGTCAGAGGAATGTACGTCATAGAAGGAGTAATAAATTAGCTCCTACCGGAGTAGAATTTTACTTGCTGCTGGTCAGTCCCACTTCCCTTGGAACAACCTTAGACCCTTCCCCTGCAACAAGGAGCTTCAAGTCACAGGTGATGATCCCTGGCAATTGGCACTTCTTGCGAGTGAGTTGCGACAAAAATGTGGGTACAGAAATTCATGTTCAATATTTATCCAATCAATATTTTATTCGAATAGCCAACCGCAACAAATAAATTAGCAGTTTTTCTTTCATATAGAATAGTTTCTATCGAATCTGACGTTGGTTCTTGAAACAATTTATTTGCATTATTTTCTATTTATGGGCTCATTTTCATACAGCCCTAATGGATATGAGCATTCCTACTGCGTACGCTTCTATCAACGAATACATTATATATAAACTGGATCAGAACTGTGTATAGATAATGATTCAATCGCTGATAAGACATTAAACCCGGTGTTGACTAAAGTTGGAATTGCTATTGATTGGTAACTTGGTATCGGTATTGAGATCTTTTAAAACGATCTTTCTCAGTAACTAGTATCATTAATTCGTAATACCCAGTACTTTTCTACATATGAAAGAATGTTACTGAGATTGTATTCAAGTTTTATTTTTTTCCTCAAGTCGGTCAATCCTTTGCCATCTGCCATCATTCTCCACCTGGTCAAAGCGCGTGTCATAAGAAGCGAGACACTTTGTGGGAGTGTCAGACGTGCTATTCTAGTGGTTAATTATCGCTTTCGTATTGATCGTTCTTCTTAAAACACTCGAGTGCCACCGATTTGTTGTTAGCATTCGGTGATTATTTTTTTGTTTTTCGAGCAAATATTCATGTTTATAAACTAATAATGTGTTACTTCGCAATTTGGACTAAACCATTATTGCAGGTGGCCAGTACATCATATGGGATGTTGAAGAAGTATTTAGAAATAGATTATTTTTTTTAAATAAATCGAATCCAGATAAAAAATTCAAAATATCCAGAAGTAAAATATTCCGTTAAATAAGAAATCTGAATCTTATTATTAATTTCAGAAAAATGCGGTTGTTACCTTTGGAAAAGCCACCAATAGCAACATTAATATGAAGTTTGCGCTTAAATAGAAAGAGTTCGGGTTTCAGGCATGGCCTGAGTTATGACTTTGTTAACCAAGTAGCACTCTGTGTAAAATGAAGCCTAGACCTAGTGAAAATGCGTGCCTTTTTCTTAATTTTTACGGGCGCAAAAATGTATGCCCATCGAGTTATGGCTATTTTATACTCCGAACGGTACGACTATATACTATCGGTACTAGGTACTATTAAATTGCACTGGTGCTAGGACGCAGTATTAACAATCAACGAGGCATGACACTCTTATAGGTAGTAGATAATATCTTTAAGAGTAAGGTAACTGCGCATAAATTATGGAGGCAACTCGACTGTATGGACCAAATCTTAGGTCTTTACATAGCTTGAGAAGCGAACGTACGTAACTGTAAACCGAAACCTCGATCTAATATAGATACGAAGCAAAGCAGTCGTGCAGATATGCATGGCTGTTGACGTGGTTCTCTTATTAACGCGACTGCATGGCGCCTGTGTTGCCGAGTGTGCACATAAGAGTGTACGTGGTGAGGTTTATCTCTCGCAGCCAGCACTACTGTGACGCATCAGGGTCACGTCTCACTGTCTGTGTGACGTCACCTCACCAGCCACTGGCTTCCAAGTCCATACCATTCAGTCGATGACTGAATCAGACCTTTTGTAAACGCTCCGCTTCGTATTGGGAGCTCTTGCTCTGCTTGTATGACGTCACTTCTCCAACCACAGGTGCTGCAAGTTTTTCAAGTTAATATCACTCAGTAGATGAATGAATTATGCGTACCTACTTTTAGTGAAATAGTCCTGACCAATGCCAACTCTTGGCTTCGTATTAAGCGCTGCCATAATAGGGCTGTCTACTCGCATTTCAAAATTTAGTTGAGTGTGAGCTTAACTGACTGAAAGAAAATGGACTACGAGTGAATTTTATTGTTTAATGTGGCATTTATAGACGACACAAAGTGAATTAAGTGGCACTGAACGGTTGAGTACAGTCCGCGTGTGCTTGGATGCTGAATGTCATGTTGGAATTACAGATAAAAGATGTATAGTTTAGTTACTTATTTGTTACTCTATCTCCAAAATTACTTGTAATTCAGAAGCAATGCGGATCTATAAACCTGAGTTTAACATTTATGTTTTTCTGTTATTTAATTCCTCCTAAAACTGTTTATTCCACTCTAAACTGACTGAATTGTAGCTACGAACTTGAATGTTTTTTAAGAACTTGATGATTTCGCGGACCTCCGACTGTTCAACATCATATGTCATCAGGGAAATTTGTGTAGCGTCAGCAAGTTTTGTAGCAATACGGTATCTTAGTTATCATACATTTGGGTCAACGTGATAGTATGATGCAGTAGTTATGTAGGTACTATCTATACTAGTTTCAAGCATCCAACTTGCTTGATGGGTTGTAAGATACTTTTGCTTGATTGCTGTAAAATAATCACAGTGCTCTCTCTTACGACTAGTTAGATTGCTGTAAATATTCACAGTGCTCTCTCTTACGACTTAGTTACACAAAGTCGCTCTGATGACATTTTTAATTTAAATTCGCAGGTGTTGCATAATTATCACTCACTTGGAATATTGCTGGTTCGAACGCAATCCTGAATCCTATTTCACAATTTCTGCATGTATCTTATTCCAAGCTCTTGGATGTCAATTGCCAACTAAAGCTAACCAGTGAACACCAAAGAAGGCTTTAAATAATTGGTAGGTACCGGTACTCTATTAGATCGGATTTCTTTTTATCAATCGACATTTTTGAAAGAGATATTAAAAAAATATAACTCAGTACTCACTGCAGTGAGTGACAGAGAGCGCATTTTCTCGTCGACGAAAACTTTAGGTCACGGACGGACGGAAAGACGGACGGACAGTCGGACATGGCGAGCACAATAGAGCATTTTTCCCATAAATGAGAAAATGCGCTAAAAATATCTCTAAACCTTGACACTTCAGAGATAGATGAGCCACTCTCAAACTATGCCTGTCGGCTGACTTTAGAGTTTAGACTACCGGTAGTCCGGTATTATATTGCATGAGAGCGATGTCAGCCTTCTCCCTAACTAGACCTGTCAGCTGACTTTAGGCTATTCTAAGGCACGAGAGAGATGTCAGCCTATTCCCTAACTAGACATGTCGGCTGACTAAGACTATTCTAAGGCAGGAGAGGGAGGCCAGCCTTCTCCTTAACTAGACATGTCAGCTTACTTAAGACTAGGTATTCTAAGGCACGAGATAGATGTCAGCCTACTCCCTAAATAGACATGTCGGCTGACTAAGACTATTCTAAAGCACGAGAGAAATGTCAGCCTACTCCCTAAATAGACATGTCAGCTGACTGAAGACTATTCTAAGGCACGAGAAGGATGCCAGCCTTTTCCTTAACTAAGCTAGACCCTAATGGATAGATAGAGTTGATAAATATGCACGTGTGGTGGCAGGTAGGTTCCGGTGCACGTAACACTGCACAAGAAGTCGCCCTCGTCAGGGCCCTTGTATTGATCTCTACGCAGACTCTCCGTGCAGGAGGCCAAGCTCCCGCTAAGTATTTCGTCCAAGTAACTTATTTAATAATAACACGCCTTGGTGGAAGCTATTATTTTAATGAGCACCTATTCACTATTCACTCGTTTTTTCGCATCGCATTAAAACATCTGCTCCAAGTATGTGGATTAAAACCTCTCCCACATTCACGCTCGCTGTTTTATCAACAATTCCGTCAATTCGATATCATCGATCGTGTCATGACCTCCATTAATAGAATTTATCTCACTGAATTAAAAATATTTGAACTTTTCCGACTACCCGACATGTTTCCTTGGTTTTTCTGATAGTGAAAAGTTATTTGACGTTGTGTCGTTGTTCAGTGATTTCCATTTCGCGAGGCCAGCCGACAATAACCGATATATATAAAGCCTTTATTTTGTATGGTTGAAGAAATCAATATATTCTGGGAACGCTGCTTCTTAACAGCCTGAAACTACGAAATTAATTGCCTTGCCTATCATCCAAACTTTCGTTGCAGACTTTGTAAGCTCCACGGTAACTCTAGGAATCCATGTATTCTTCTTATCTCTCTTACGTAATGGCCTCAGTCATTCGTGCCTCTCTCGCATGATGACTTCATCGTTCTCGCCATCATCTCAATTTAGATTTGCACAATTTACACACGTAGGGTTGTTTCGTTCCTTAATATATTCGCACGCCACCCTTTTATTAGTTGCCACGATTTTTTTTTTGCGTAGAAGATTGCTCTCTATGAAATGAAGCTATCATGAAGATTAGCTATTAGATAATGTTTGCATAACCATTGCAAGAAACGACAATATCCACTGTTGAAAACCCATAACTCACTTTTCTTCTTGGAATCCCACTTAGTCGACACAGAGAGCTCATTCACTCGAGCAGCGTATTGTGATGAAGTGATGTCATAGGATCGCGCTCTCGCACTACCTGCCGACGAGAGGACGCTATTGATTCTGTCTAGCGGTGGTCTGGCGGCCTCTGCATGTG